TCATCAATCACCAATATAATTGATAAATGTTGCACAAAAATTTATCAATTTATTGTAAATAATAAACAATTATATTTGACATTTGTACAGTTTTATAAGAAATATTTCATTCTCGAAATTCTCAATTCTTTTCTGATTTGTATAAATTTGGAAGTTAATAAAATAAAAATGAAAATTCTATCAATAGCAAAATGAAATAGTTTTGTTTTTCTTTTATTTTTTTCTAGTTATACATTTACAATAGTGTAAAATAAGATCAAAAAAAAAAAAAAATGGAATGCTTGTTTTGATTATTCCGGAATTCTCTATTTTTATTTTATTTATTTCTCCTACTTTTAATTTACTTTAATGTGCTTAATTTCCCATTCATTAAAACCAAAAATAAAACGAAAAAAAAGAGAAAAAATGTCAGTGACATATGTTTTTATTCTTATAGTTAATAAAAAAAAAGAATGCTTAAATTTAAATTTGTTCTTTTTAGGATTTTTAGAAATTAAATTTTAAATTTCTATTTCATTTGTTTACTTTTTTCTTTTTTTTTTTTAAAGGCTCATTCGATGAATCTTGTGCCGATTATGAAGCAGCAACAAATGTTGACTGTTTGCGCGTGGAAAAATCAGATAATAGTGGCGGTAGTAAACACTTACCGCTGACCGGAAGGCATTCTTCAGTAGCTGTATCACCACAAACACCACCACCACCATCAGCAGCACTTTGTTTGTTTATTTTTGAATTAATTTGAAGTTTAATTTGATTTTAAAATTTAACAAATTAAATTTGAAATTATGTTCTTTCAAATTCCTTCAAAATGTCACACTTTTAATTTACTTTAACCTACTTTTACTCTTAGTTTTGATTTCTCTTATTTTTAATTTATTGTAACATACTGCAATTATTTCTTAATATTTGCTAATTTTTCATTCATTAAAACTAAAAATCAAAGAAAAAACAAACGAAGAGAAAAATTGTCACCGACATGTTTTTTTCTCTTTCAATTTACTTTAACTTTTAGTTTAAAATTTTTTAACATACATAGCATTGTTGTGTTTTTTTTTTTCTTTTCCTACATATAAATTTAAAATTTTCATTATTTTCCAATTATAGCTCGATCTACAACTGTACATAATACTGATGCAAAAAATGATAAGCAAACATTGGTCACCACAAATTCCAATTTATCGCCCTACAATGTTCGTTTATTTACCACAGTATCAACTCCAGAACAAGCTTTAATTTCATCATTACCGTCGGTAATACCTTCAGTATCACCAAAAATAGCTGTAACACCTCCTGTTGCACGGGCGTTATTTACCACTCCTCAGACAATTGCGCCAACAAAAACAACTTTTCAACCATTATTACATGCAATGGCACCGACTACTTCAACTGTTCAATCAGCATCTGCTTCGTTAATGATGCATTTCAAAAATCTTGTAAATGTAAGTTTATCATGATAACGGATGATACATCTCGTACAGATCCACAATCAGTATTATCCGGAAGCAACAGTTGATGCATTTTCATACGGATCCACAATTAGTATCATTCAGAAATAGCGGATGATGTATCTTACACGGATCCACAACTAGTATCATCCGGAAGCAACTATAATACATCTTAACGGATCTATATTTAGTTTCATCCGGAAGCAACGGATGGTACAACTCATACGGATCCACAATTAGCATTATCCCGAAATAAACGGATGAAGATAATAAAATGTTACATTTCTGTTTTTATCAACATTACAATCATTTTATCTTATAATAATTAAATGATATATTCACTTTTTTCTCAAATAATTCGATCAATTGAAATATTTATTCATTTCATCCAATTTCATTATGCAATTAATTTTGCAGTCATTCAATTCATTTGCAAATGGTAATGGCGCTACTGGCACATGTCCGCCATCTAATAATACTTCAAATCGCCATGATAATACATCAAAACGTTTTTCATTGGATAATAATGCAATTTCATTACAATTTCAAAATTCCTCCACACAATTCAGCACTGATTATAATGATAAAAATAATGAAACTGCTGCAAATATCAAAAATGATTCTAAGGTTAGCATTTTATTATAAGTAATAAAATTTTATAGCATATTTCATTTAAGCATTACTTTCAGTTTATTCCTAAATTCTTTTTTTTTTTTTTTAAATTATAAAATGATAAGAAATTAAGAAGTCTTGATGAAATTATTCATTATCTTTGAATTTATACTATTTCAGATAAGTGCTAAAAATAATAGTAACAGTAATACTGATCAGGAAAAAGAATTACGAAGACAACGACGTTTACGAAGACGATCTGTATGTCAGGAAACATTTCCAGTTAATGAGGTTAATAATCATTTTTAAATTGTATTTTTTAAAGAAAAAAAAAAGGCATTTGATATGAGTAATGTTTTACTTCTGTGAATACCATGCAGCATCTTTTATTGATGAATGACTTGTTTAGTCAATATGGAAAAATTCAATACGTGATCCTGAAATAGGTGGACAAACCGGAAATACTGATGGAGCAACAAGATCAGTTAAGAAAAGTATTAGTGAAAAACATCTTTTTAATAATGGTATCGAAGTGACATCATCATCAGATGGGAGAAATCAAGTTATGGAAGATGCTAAATGGCATATACTTAACTTAAGGTTACTTCAAATTGTTTTTTTTTTTTTTTTTTTTTGCCACAAATAAAGTAATGGAAGATGCTAAGTGATATATACTTAACTTAGTGTTATTTAATTTTTGATTAAGATAATTTTTATTTATTCAATTTAGCAAATTTATATTGTTTACTTGAAAAAGTTTACATTGTTGCATATTTTACATTAATTGTCCTCTTTAATGACCCAAATAAATTATTGCTAATCATTTAGATAAATTTTAAAAATAATTTATTACTAAACATACCTTATCTCAAAGGTTAACTAAAGGATATTCTTCATTTATCACTTAAATAAAATATTAGAATTTTAAAAAATTCATTTTTTATATTTATTATTTCTAATTGTTTACTCATTAATAAACATAATAATATATTTTAGACGGAAAAGGTATCAATTTCTTGGATTAACACCATCACCACCACGTACAGCAATGCAGTCTTGAAAATTTAATTCGATAGTTATGCAATTTCTTATATTCGAAATTTTATATTAATGTTCAAATATCAGCTGTGTTTGCCTTTTCCGGTTATATGTATAAAATTTCTTTTCTTTTTTTTTTTTTTTTTTTTTTTCTTTAAAGGTATTTAAATGATCTTGTGTTTGATTATTATTCGTTAATTATTGAAAAATTTAATGTAATAGTATATTTTCCTAATGATTAAACAATATTTTTTCAGGAATTCCGGATTTATCTAATATTAATATTCTTATATGGAATGATTATACAGGTTTTGTCTCCTTAACATCAAATAATCTTTCCATATTGTTTATCGTTCAACGAATTAAAATATAAGCTGAAAATCTATTTATAAAAATAATTTTTAATTTCAATATGTATTTCAAATTTTGATATTTATAATAAAAAAAAATAAATCTCTTTTTTTTTGCTTTTCTTCAGAACAAACAAGTTTTATTAGGTAATTACAAAAAATTTTGCAATTAATAAATCGTTTTTTTTTTTTTTTCTTTTGGTGCAATTGCTCAAATGCGCTTTTGCCTGCTCATACAATATGATAATGATATATTTATCATATTATCTTCTCATATTTATTGGAAAATGATAGCAGGTGTTTTTTTTTTTAAAAAAAAAAGAAACTTTTTTCCTTTTTGATGCATCTTTTTTAGCAATAATTTATATTATGATTAAAAAATGATAATTATCAGATAAAAATAATCATTTGTTTAATAATTATTTCTCTTTTTTTTTCTAGTCATTTTGTTTTGCAATATTGTATATTATCACAATCTTTTTTTTTTCTTTTCTTTTTTTTGTACAATCTTAGAATGACCTTTGATATATATATATACAAATGACCTTTTGATATATACAAATGACCTTTGATATGTCATAATAACTTTTCATCAAAAAAAGAAAAAAAAAGCAATCGTTACCTTATCGTAATGATAAGTATTTATACAAAGTAAAACAAATAATGCATTTTCTAATAAATATCAAGCGTTATAACAATTTAACTGACATAATTTTTGTTTTGTTAAACAATTTAAGAATAATAAAATAGTTTTAGTTGTTTTTTTTTTTTTTTTTTTTTTTTTTCATTACACGAAGAAGTAAGCAAATTGAAATTACATCTAATATAATAATCAAAGTTGAACTATTTCCAATTTAATATAAGTATTAAAAGATTGAATTTAAATGAAATAAAATTAAAATTAGGAAGAAAAAAAATTTATCAAATTAAGGACGAATTAAAATTCATTTATGATTTAAATAGATAATTTAAAAAAAAAAAGTTACCAAATTTAGGCTAAATTTACATCTTCTATGATTGCTTATCAATGTGAGTTCTGTTTTTTTTCATATTAAAAAGTTTGAAATGAATACGAAATTCTGAGAATCATTAAATTACAATCTTTACATTTTTAAAATTCAATCATAACTTACTTCTTTATCTTTAAATTATAAAATGATTAAAGTTTACGGTCAAGTGTTATCAAATGCTTATGAACTGATCAAAATATGATCATTTAAAATGATCAAAGTTTACGATCGATCGATCACTGCTTATAAAGTGATTAAAATATGATCATTCAGATTGATCACAACCTACAATCGAATGTCATCCATTGTTCATAAAATGATCAGTGTTTACAGTCAAATGTTATCATTCATTACTCATAAAATAATTAAAGTTTATTTGATTGAATTTCACAAATTTTTAATATATTTATCTTATTTGTTTGGCTATATAACTTGAAATTATTCTCTCCTTGCTCATTTTTTGTTTTTTTGTTTTTTTTTTTTTTTTTTAAAGTTTATTTATAATGAATTTACAATTTGATAATAATGAATGTAAGATGATCATTTCAATTCAATTTGTTACATCTGTTGTAAATTTGATATTGATTTGAGATTGTAGCTGAAGTTAACTTTGATCGATACTGTAATTTCATAGTATTACTTGTAGAATATGAGCTTATTGTAGCTGCACACAAATGATCGATAAGATTAGCAATTAATATTGTCCATGCACGACATGAACCAGGAAAACTGCGTACGCAATTCTAAAATTTTAAACAAAAATTTATCACAAAAACTGATTTTATAATTTTAATTCTTATCAAATGAATGATAAATAAAAAGGATAAAAATGAATCAATTGTTTTCGTTTTTAAGTAAAAAAAAAAAAAATGCAAGAATAATTGAATTTAATTTGTTAAATTATTAAAATACGAATTTTATTATATAATAAATTATGTATAAATAAAACATATCAATTATATAAATAAGACATAAAAGAAATGCAAATAAAAAATAATAATTCATTTTAAATTACGAGAAATGTAAGTACTATTTAGTAATGGTGGATAAATTGCACATAAAAGAAATAATAATATTTCTTTTACACTATGTTTTATATCAACAATAAATTTAAGTTAATTTTATTTTTTTTTTTTTGATTTATCAAAAAAAAAAAAAAAAGATTTCAATCAGATTTAAAACCTAACAACATTTTTTTCTTTCTTTCTTTTTTAAAATAGATTTAATTCTTTAATTAAAATTTAATAAAAAATAAAAGAACTTGAAAAAAAAAAAAAAAAAAACAACCTGTACAACTAAAACATCCACTAATTCTTCACCCAAATGATCCCAAAGTTTCCGTTGAAAACCATATTTTGTCAAATCAAAATGACACAAACCTAAATGTTTAAATTTAATGTAATGCAATATAATAAACTATATACAATTTTTCTCAATTATATAATTATTTGTAATAAAACTAATATTTTTAGTACTTTTTTTTTTTTCAATTATAAATTTTATTAAATTAAATTAAAAAGAAATATGTATATATAACCAATTTTCTTAATATGTTTGAGAATATCATCCGAATCTGTATCCAATGATTGAATTATTTGACTAATTAATGATGTGAAAAAATGTGAATGATCATGCAATGTTGCAATTGTACGACCTTCTGTGATACCATTAACAAATGCTGCATTGTAAAAGATATCGCGAAGTATTTTATTTTTCTATAAATTTAAAAAAAACTTTTAAAAAAATATATTAAAAACAATACTTTAAATATATTTATTGTACTATATTAATGAATAAAAAAAACGATAAAAAATTTTAATAATTTTAAATAAAAAATTTCATCAAATTTTGTTGAAAAAAAAAAAGAAGAAAAGAAAGATAATAATAAAAAAAAAAAAAAAGCATTAATATTTTATGAATGCCTCATTTAAACGATTAAAAACTTCTCCCATGATAGCACTGATACCACGACATGCTGAATGTGGTGTTTTACATAATCTATTCCATGTCACTTTTAAAGCAAGTGTTTGTTGATAAATTAAACCCCATTTATTTGTCTGAAATATTAGAAAATAAAAATTTGGAATAACCAAAAATTGAATATCTATTTGAATATCAATCAAATTTATCAAATATATATATGTAAGAGAAAGTTTAAAAAAAAAAAAAAGAAACTTTTGAAAAAAAATATTGTAATAGAGAAAATTTAAAATGATTAAACATATACTAAGTTTTAGAAAATATTTTTTTTTTTTTTTTTTTATGAAAGGGTTTGTTTGGTTGAAAAAAACTAAAATATTTCATTTTCCTAAAAAATATATATATATATTTTATTTGTTAATAAAAAGAAATGAAAAATGACAAATATAATTGCATGCATACACCGATATAACGAAGATTGGATATGGATCCGTAATGGATTGCTTGAAATGCGGAAACGGAATTTTGATGACCGTTTTCTTCATTCAATGATGACTGTGACAGGAGCCTATTATTAATCGGTGTAACGGATGTAAATGTTTGATGGGATGGTGCCGAATTCTTTTTTCGGTTTCGTTGGGATTTGTTGGTTTTTTTCTGTAAATTACAGACGTAAAAGAATTCTTTGTTTTTTTTTTTTTGATAGTAATTAAAAGTTATTAGTTAAAAATTTCAAAAAATACAAACAGATATTTTATTTTTTTAAGTATGACATCTTTTTCTTGTTGTTTTTTTCGCAGTAAAATTGCAAAAATTTTGTAGAATTTTAAATTTTATAAATAATCAAATATTAAGCAATCAAAAATAATAAATAATTAAGTAAAAAAATTTTTTTAGTCAAGCAAATTCAAATATGTTTTAAAAAAATCATTAATAATTTCAGAAATAATTTCAATAATGTTTCATTTTGAAATACTGAAATATCATTTTCTTTATAATAATAAAAATAATAATAATTATATTTTTTTTTTTTTTGGTGAATAATTCACATTAAAATTTGTTTACCTTATCACCAGCAATGCTTTGTTTAGCTTTGCTAGTAAATCGAGCAGCAACAATCATTCAAAGTTTATCGTTGTACAATAAATTGTACCAAAATATGCTGGAAAAATAAATAATAATAATTTAATCTTAATGATAAGGAAAAATAAAATCATTTTATTAATTTACTTTAAAAAATGGATGGATAATTTCATTTGAATTTAATTCTGATAAGAGGAAAAATTACTGTGCAAATCAAATAAGATTAATTTTTCAAGTAAGCTTGCAAGCTTTGTTTTCAATACTGAATACTGAATACCTTATGCTAAAAATAATAATTAACAAAATTGCTAAAAAATTTTGTCTAAATGTTTAGATAGAAAACAAACAAAATAACTTATTGAAAATATTTAAATTAAAATTGAATTTCAGTGTTTTTAATGAATTCTCATATGATAATTACAAATATTACGCATGATTATTGTATGTTATCTGTTAGTGCAACTATTTGCTATGAAACCAAAATCTATTTCAAATATTCAAATATTTTATGTCATTACCCAGTTTATATTTAACCAATGAAAATGAACTATTTAAAATGATTTAGAAATTTAAAAAAAAATAGCAGCACTTACAAACTTTCTTTTAAAAAATATCTCTAACAGGATATCAATAATTTTAATTTAAATATTACTCGCAATTTCTTTCAAAAAGTTATCTGAGTAATTTTAATTATAGCAATTAATAGCAATTTGATAAAAAAAATTCAATCCATTTGTAAAAATTAATTTATCGCTTCTCCTTTTCATCATTGCAAGAAAAATTAATATGAATTTTTATTTTTTTTACATTTATAAAAAAATAAAAAACGCAAGAAAATTAAATGCTTCATTTAATTTAAAAGAGCAAAAACATTTGAGGAAATCATTTGTGAAAATTATAAAAACTTAAAATTTGTTATCAAAAAATCAATATAATCTTTTTTTTTTTTTTTTTTTTTTGGGAAAAAGAAAAGAAAAGATAATTATAATTGCTTAATATTTAACAATTTTTATTAACTGAAAAAATTTATTTCATTTTTTGATATTTTATTCATTTTCCTTTTATTACTATTTTAAAATGTATTTTCAGTCAAAAATTTTTTCACTCAATGTTAAAATTTCGGGGCAAATATAGCGAAAATGGACAATTCGATGAGCTTATCTGATTGTAGAATTGAATTATTGAAATTTTAGTAAAATTTAAATCACAAAAGTGCAATATATAACGGTCATTTGGCTAAAATAAAACGAATGAAATAAGAAATAAAAGAGTTTGAAAATGTGAGAGATTTAATAGATAGGCGAAAAATTGAGATCATTAAAATCTTTTAAATATCACACATTTTCACATCACTGATAATAAATTTTTAACATTCATTTTAAACATGCAATTATGTTACATCAAATATATTTGTTGTTAAAAATGTCACACAGCAAAATATCGTCCAATTAAATATTTTATTCAAATTAATGCATCAATTTTTTGATGTGACATTAAATCTGAGATTTTTTCGCAGTTTATTCAATTCTTCAATTTATTAGAAATATTTTTAGTATTTGCAATTGATGAAAGATAGATTTATTATTTACACACCATTTAGTGACTAATTTTTGATCCTTTTTTTTTTTGATAATTCTTGATATATTTGTTATTTTAAAATGCTAAAATATTGAAAAGAAATTGAAAGTATTCTGCTCAAATCATTTTTTATTAAAAAAAAAAAAAAAAAGAATTATGAATTTATTTTAAATGAAATTTTAAGATGATATAAAAGCAGTATGCAAACATTCTTGTAATCCCTAAATTTGCATATATTTTATACTAAAAAACGAGTACTGCGTTTAAATTTTTAATATCTTTAAAAAATATGCTTAAAGTTTTCAAATTTTCGACAATGTGCAAATTTGGCAAAATATTTCAAAAAGAAACAAACAAATAAGGAATTTAAAAAAAAATCAACAAAGAATGAAAAATAAATTTGTAGTTGTATTAGTTAAATAAATATTTTCAACCGATTTTTTTTTTCTAAAATAAATATTTAAACTAAACTTTTTGCAAATTATCATATCAAAAACATCATATTAAAAAAAACTTTAGTTATATACAATTATATTTTTGTACAATTAAAACGGAACGTTTAGTCCTAAAATTATAAATTATGTCTACAATTTATCAAAACTATAACTTTCTCATAGGTCAATTCAAATTCTCTAAAGAAAAAGGAATCGAAAAAAAGAAGAAAAAAGGAAAGAAAAAACTTGTGTAACTTATTTAATTTCAAACTTACTTCAACTTACGTTATCCATCTGTTTGCTATAAAGTCATTATTTGAGAGCTTATTTTTTTCTTATCTTACCTCTCTCTTTCCCTCTTTCTCCCTCTCTCTCTCCCTCTCAATTTCCCTTGAGATTTGAGAAATTTCATAAAATATTTCGGTTACGATAGAGATAGAATATTAATTTTGAAGAAAACAAGTTATAGAAAGAGAAAAAAAAATAAAAGATTGTAAATTGAATAATTCTAACAATTTTATGATAAAAAAAACAAAAAAAAAAAAAAAAAGATGAAACGTCAAAACTACGAAATTCTTTAATTTTAATCTCAATTGAACAAATTATCAATAAATACTTTATAATATTTATTTATCATTGAGATCATTTATTGCTTTTAATATTTTAACTTTAATCAATAGCTAAGCTTAATTGCAGCCATAATATTATTTCAATTATTATTAATTAATAAGTTAACAATTCTAATGATGATATTATAATTTAACTTAAACTTTAATTTTAATGTTTATTCAATTACTCTAACAGTTTTAAAAGAAATAACTTTTCATATTTTAATTAGTGATAAAATTAGCATTTGTTGAAAAAAAAAAAATGATTGTTATTTGCTTTATAACAGTATTAATTATTTTTAAGGTACAATTTTAAAGCTGTTTAGGAGGGAAAAGAAAAAAAAAGGTCAGAAATTATTTTTTAGAAATTTTTAAATTTTTTAGAAAAAAGAATTATTTTTTTACAAATTGAACATTCACTTTTCGTTTTTTCCACTTTTTTTTTTGGGTGTGAAAATGAAATATTTAATTAAATTTATAAAAATTTCAAAATATCTTCGTACAAAAAATTTTGTTGCATTAATTTTTCAAATTATTTGAGAGAAGAAAAAAAAATCAAAACTTTTATGATTAATTCAATATATTGAACAATTTGTTAAGAACGATTAAATTCTCAAAGAAAAATTTGATTATTATAAACAATATTGCTGAATTCATTTATCATATCTATATCAAAATAATTCAAAAATTTTGCATTTTAATTTAAACAATTTTAGCAACATTTTTGTGAGAAAAAAAAATGATTAAAAATATCAATAAATTAGTTTCTCAAGAAAAAAAAATCATGCTGAAAATAGTTTAAAAATTGTACATAATTCAAAAAATTCGACACATTTTTTTTTTTCTTTTTGATTTCTAAAAAATGATCTCAAATTTGGAGATTATTTTATTTTCTTCTGCATTCCATTGAATTATTTATTTTATTAAATTTGTTAAATTCCAGTCTTCGTAAGTCGGTTTTTTAAAATGATCGTTAATTGCTGATGTAATTATTATTGTTACTTTCATTTCTTTTCTTTTTTCTCTTCTCCAAGATATTTTGCATTTTATCATTTTAGTTTGTGGCAGAGAATATTTTAAAATTATTTATTCATTTCATAGAAAAGAAATAAATAAAAGAATTATTTCAATAATGAATTAATTAGAACAATACAATACATAAAATATTAACTAAATTTTTGACTGAATTATAAGCGATTAGTTTTGTTTTGTTTTTGTTTTTTTTTTTCATTTATTTTAAATCGTTTGAATAATTATATAAATAAATATGTCTGAATAATTATAAAATAAATATGTTTGGAAAAGATTGAGGAAGAGGAAGAAAGAAAGAGACAAAGAAGATTAGATCAAATTTCAAAAAGATAAATTGATTAATTAATCATTGAATAGAAATCATTTTAATACAATAAAGAGAGAAAAAAAAAAAAAAGGAATGAAAAAATAATTAGATTTGTTAAGAAAACAATCTATTTAGATACAATAAAAATTCAAATTATTCAACGATTTTTTTCGCCGTTCTTTTCCAGTTTTGAATTTGTTAAATTTTATGTTTTAACAGAGTAGGAAGAGATTAATGAGAATAAGAATGAGATTAATAATAAGATTAAAAATAAAGAAATATGCAGAAAGCTAGGAATAAGAATGAAAGTAAGAATAAAAATAATAAGGATAAAAAAAGGATAAGAATGAAAATAGAAATAAGAATAAAAAAAAAATAAATAAAAAATAAGAGAAAGGATAAGAATAGGAATGAAAATAAGAATTAGGAAAAATAATAAGAGGGTGAAAAAGAAGATAAAAAGTAATATTTAGGTCAACGATATCCATGACAAAGAATAATAGACAATAATGAATCAATGAAATGAATTCAGGAAAATTGGTGAGACAGGAAAATGTGGAAAATAAAAATTTTTCTTTAATTGTCATTCTCTCTTCTGTCAGCTGTTAATCTTTTTCAATTTCGAAAATTTATCTTTCATTTCTGAAAAGGATGTGAAGATGGGGTGGAGTTATTGTTACATAATATATTATCAAAGGTGATAATACTACTAAAACTACTAATACAATTCCTATTTATTGTTATTGTTATTATTGTTGTTTTGGTTGTTGTTGTTGTTGCTGTAGTTGTTATTGTTATTGTTATTATTATTATTGTTGTGAAAGTAATAATAACAGTATTCAAGAGTAGTAGACTTGATAAACAAGTGCATCAACAATAATAACAATGATAATATATCATCATCATCATCATATATTCATCACCTATAAACGACGATATTTTTTGGCTAATATTATTTGCTGCTTTGTATTGTTAACTGCAATACATGAAAGTACTGCAATTCAAGAAACAGTACCAGCTGTTCGAGTGGTACGATTTCAGGTGGATTATCCGAATGCATCACTTGAAAGTATTCAAAAGGTACCAAAATGGAATGCTATTATGCGTAATAGTGTCCTTGCATCATTACGCTTCATCAATAAGCACTGGCTAATTTGTGGTGGTTCAAAATCTGAAAAGTAAGTTATTGTTTTAATGAACTTTTTTTTTTGAAACTATTTTCATAGCAATTCATCCTTTATTTCATCTTAGTTATTTTATACATTTAATTTGCATGTTTATCATACAATTTGACAGTTAGCATTTTTAAAATTGTCTACTAATGATTAAACTATTTTTAAAATAAGCTTAGTTTTTTCTGCTTATCCTATAAATGGATTAATGAAGTATAGAGAAAGTGATATGGAAGAGTTAGAAATATTTCATCATTTGCTATCATAACATTTTCCATTAAACTGATTAGGTTAGTTACTCATCGTTGTGATTAAATTTACTCTTTAAATTCTGATCATATCATTTTCCGGAAGTTATGTCATCAGCTTATTTCAGTAAATTGTTTACGAATAGAGTTTAGAGAGGACTAAATTTAAAATTAATGTTTTTTTTTTTTTTCTAATTGTTATCTGCAATAACTTCATTCTCCTTCCAGTTTTCTCTCTCTCTCTCTTATACATTTCAAACTATATTATTGCCTTATGATACGTTTTTTGCAAACGATTAGTGAGATTACTAAATTTTTGAGATAATAAATAAATTCTTGCATTCACAGCAAAGATAAAAAATTTTAAATTATGCATACGATATTTCAAATTTTAATAACAAACATTAAAATTTTACCCTCTTAGTATTGTAAATATTTAATAATACTTTTTCAGTATGCTATCCATTACAAGGTCCAATAGGATAGGATGATGCAAATGCAGATCCTTTTGACGGTAGTAAAGATAAAAATTTGAAATCAATTTTAAATTTAATTTTGACTCCAAAGCTCAATTAAAACCATTATTTAACGCTACTTTCCAAGATATATTATCCATTATCAGTTCGATAGAATATAATTATACTACTGAAGTACTTGAATTTTTACTTGAACTACTTAATTTATTTAGTCCTACTTCACAATTTCATCTTTTTTTGATAATAAATCGTTTTCACAAAAGTGACATCCATTTTTCGCTTCTTCCCTTCACAATCTGATCTCTAAACTGTATCATTATCAAAAATATTTAATGCATTAACATTGTTTATTAACACTGCCATAGATCAAAATGTTCAAAAATTGAAGTTTTTGTTTAGTTTTTCTTCCATTCATTTTTTTTTTTAAAAAAAAAGGAAGAAAAAAACTTCTTTGAGAAAAATTTTATAAATAAATAAGAAAATACATTAATTAATTATACATTCAAAGAGTAAAAATAAAATTTTTAGTTTATTAATTAGTTAAAATTTTATTGTTGTGATAGAAATAGTATGAAAGAAAAAGGAGAGAAGGAAGAGGGAAGGAAATTTTAAACTATTCTCAATTATTGTAGTAACAATGAACCAACAATAAAATGAATGAACAATGCAAAATTTTTGTTAAAATAATGATCAAATTTTCGTGAAATTCCTCGAAAAATTTTCTCTTTTTTTTGTTAAATTTATTTTATAAAAGATTAAAATGGTAGGTAGAGCAAGAGAGAAATAGAGAAAAAATAAAATAAACGAAAAATAAAGAAAGAATTAGTATTGATACTAAGTCGATTTCAAAAAAAAAATATGCATCAAAATGTTTTCACATACCAAATGGCACTGTCATTATTCGATATTATAGAAACAAATTTATTGTCTTTGCTTTTTCAACATTTTTTTTCATTTGAAACGAAAAACTTTTGAAATGGTATGATAGTAATTTAATTATTCTATTTTGTGTTAAGACAAAAACTACTGTATGATCGTACGGATGTATTACTATGGCAGTACCCTGAGAGAATATTACTGTAATTATACAGTTATGCGATTATGATTATTTCGTAAATGAGTTTATTGTGTGGTTATACGGTTAAGGTAAGTATAATTGTACTGTTATATTCATATCACGTGATTATAATTGTATTACTGTACTGTAAATGAATGTGATTACGTGATTATACGGTTACTACAGTATGATTATGCGGTTACTGTATTAAGTGATTATACGTAAACAAAGTTATAATTCGTAAAATTTTTTACATTGATAGTCATGAATTGAGATTCATAATCGTAGAAATTATTTTATGATTATATAATAGTAATTATATGGTATATGGTAGTTTTCTTTTTTTGTATTTCTATGATAATTCTGTTGCTACCTCCTATCTTCCACTGGTAGCTGTGAAGAAATATTTTATCAATCAACAATATCGAAGTGCGAATTTTCTTTCTTTATCTATTATAAGTTTATAAAAGTAAAAATTATTGCAAATTACTAATCACTAATCATTTATCAGAGAGATGTAAGAGTGGAGTGAATTGAAAGGAGGAAAGTAGATTAAATCCCAAATTGGAGGGTAGGTTTTTAAATTTGTTTGAAATTAAACTAATGATTTTGAAAATTTCTAAGAAAAAAAAAAGAAAGCACAAAAACACTTAATGACGATCAAAACAATGATACTCAAGGGAAATACGATGAATGTACGAAAAGTTGAGAAAATTTCTTTTATCACAAAACAATTAAGAGAGCGAGAGAAGGAAAGGGAAGGAAAGAAAATAAATAAAATTTAAAAAATTGGAAGATTTTCACGAGAATTCTCTTTTTAAAAGTACGTCATTTAAATTTGGCAATGAAAATTGAATATTTCACAACCAATCTCAAATTTTATATATCTTAATGGAATATTTTCTTTTAGCTTTGGAAAAAGAAACGAAAAAGTTTAAAAAAGTGCGGGTAAATAAAATGGAACATGATTTAGCATGCTTAATTTTCAAATTTCACTTTCTTTTCTAAATAATGATGCTAAATTTAGCTCTGTTATCAGAAAAAATCTCTTTTTTAAATTTTTGGTTTTTTTAAACAATCTGTACAACAAGCTTTTCCAATTGTATTATCTTATTTTGTTATCCTCTTTTTCAACTTGCTAAAATTTTTGAAAGCAAAACTTTTATTCAATATTTAAAATGTTTCGTACTGATAAGGTTAATAATGCTAAAGGAATTATCCCATTAATTATTAGAGAGAGAAAAAAAGAACACAACCTCAGGAATGCCAGATATGTCATTCTATTTATATTTAATGGAAACAGAACTGTGTAATTGTTATAAACTAGTTAATTAATTAATTCACATTTTGAAAAGATCAAAATAAACGTATTACTTAGCATATATGTGAATATGATCAGCTCCAAGAAATATAATTTCTCTTTAATAAAAAATACTTGATATATTTTATGAAATTGAAACTTTTTGCACTCAGATATTTCCGAAATTTGGACTTGATTTTATAAAGAAAATTTCCATATTTTTAATTCGTTGAATGAAGTCTTTTTGTTTTCTCTTTGTTTTTTCTTCACTTTTTCATTTTGGCATTTGTAGCGAGAGAATCTCATTAAATGGATTTATTATTTTGTTTTGAATGATCCTTTATCCTAAATATCATGACGAAATGACTTTCTTAATGACTCATTTTACTTTAATTTAGAGGCCTCTCAACATTCATGCAGATATTCCTTTTTTCAAAATTTAAATTTTCAACCAACTGTGGAAAATATTTTGGCATACGTTCATATCTTCATGAATTCATTTATTTTATTAAAAAATAAACTTTTTATATTAATTTATAAAGTACAACCAGTATGAGTTACTTAATTTAAAATATCGATTCATGTTAAATTTTGTTAATCACAAAATATATTAACATTTGGCAATGTAATAACAAAACGCTTGCAAATGCAAAAGTAAGGATGATGAATTTAATTGTTTTTTAAAGTGTAAAATAGAAATATGAAGATTATTTATTTTTTTTTTTTTTAATTTAATGACCTATTAGATAGTTATCTAATTGTTTACAAAATTTCATGATATTTAAGAAACATAAACTGAAAAAAAATCATAAAAATAGGAAGTCGAGTAAACACCTTTTTTTTAAATATTTTTCCATATCAGTGTCGTCACACAGTCTCACATTAAATGTTAAAATGAATGCATAGGTGTTAAACTTTTATGTTAAAATTGCTGAAAATTTGTTTGAAATTGATTTAAATTGTCTTATTTAATTAAAAAAAAAAACTTCACAACATCTTTTACATGGCCTGTCACCGTCATTATTTTGCAACATAAATTAATGTCATTTATACGATAGCATCAATTTAATTAAATTTAATTAGATTTTTGAGTTTTCAAAAATTTAAGCACTTTCGCATTCGTCTCAATGTCTTGTGTCCTCCTTGTTAGAAAAAAATAAAATGAAAATCTTATATATAAAAAAAAAAAAAATCTCTGTTCAGTGTAATAAATTCAACATATTTCAGCTGAGCTCTAAATATCCCAAATTTTAAAAATAAAACAAATGACGAAATTTATTTTTCTTCAGATTTTTTTCTTTCTTTCTTTTTTCGCTTCTGTTCGAAAAAAAAAAAAGCCCAATGACATCGTTAATTATCTGACATTTTAATTTAGTGCAATGTTTGATTTGCAATAATTAAGGTTAAATTATCAATCTTTATCTGAGAAAAAAAAATCAAGCAAGTAATTATCATTTCTATAATTTTCAACTAATTACAACTAATAACTCTATGAACTAATTAGAAACTTATCTAATATTAACAAACTATTCCTCTCCTTTTTTTTTTGAAAAAGTAACAAATATTTATGTAAACCTTTTTTTTTTTCAGCTATTTAGCGCTTACTTTTGTTCTTTTGATGACAACATTACATGCATACAATAATCAAATTAATTAATCATTAAAAAAAAAATATACTACAAAACAAAAAATTTAAATGTAAAATTTCAAATCAAAAAGTGAACTTTTTGCATATCATACGGTAACCAATTTCTTTATATGATTGATATTAATTACTAATTGGTAGCATTTTGTCCTCAAAAGAATGAATCTAATTAATCAAGCATTACATGAATAATTTGTCATTTCATCCATTTATTATCAATGTCAAAAAGTAGTTGTTAATTTCAGGAAAATGAATGATTGCGGTAAAGTACAAGTGACCGGAGAAATTGTACAGCCGAAATATTATCGAATCAATGCGACATTCATTGCTGAAAGGTTAACAACAATTTTCAAATTTGAGAAAATAAATTAAATCATTTCCGAATTTCATTTTGAATCTTTTTTCTTTTTTTTCTTTGGATTGCGATTGGAATTTTTTTTCTATTTAAATGATTATCCAACCTTAATTAATTTCAGTAATAAAAAATTTTTTGCTAATACAAAACAAAATAATTTGCAATATTTTGTTCGAATGAAAGCATTACTTAAATTAAATTTATTCATTGCATACTTATACAATTTAAATTTCATCAAACAAAAAAAAAAAAAAAAGAAAGAAAAAATTTAGTAAAGAAACGAAATTAATCTTTTCCAAAAATTTTAAAGAACAAATTGGAAATGTTAAAATTAATGCAACAACAGCAATAGTTTATGCTATTATATAGAAATTTGCTCTACATGATGGTATTAATTTAATTTTAAAACGAAATTAATTTCCTTTTTTTTTAAAAAAAATTTTTAAAGGTTCAATTTGAAATGTCAAATTTAATATAACATCAGCAGCAGTTTATAATGTTATGTACAAATATGACCTATATGATGACATTACTTTAATTTAAAAGAAAAATAAAAAAATTAATCTTTTTTAAAAATTTTAGAGATCCAATTCGAAATGTTAAAATTGATGCAACATCAACCGTTTATGCTGTTGTACAAATTGGTTTACGTGGTGGCATTTTTCAATATACAAATGCATTAAAAATACTTGGAAAGCCATCACAATTACTTACATTTGATGAAGCATTCTTTTGCTATCGTGGATCAACATTAATCGATCAAGATAAATGCAGTAAGATTGATTGATTGATTGAGTAATACCTTTCATTTACTGTTGATACTATTGGTAGTAAAACTAATTATTATTATTTATTATTATTATCATTATCCAATTAAAACTGATAATATTAAAATTATCATTTACTACAAAATCAATTTTTTCATTATCATTTTCAGCATTACAATTTACCACCACCACCACCACTACTACTACTACTACTACCAATGCTATACCAATTACATCAGCAACCGTTGTTATTGATAGCAAAAATGATAATCGTATGAAAAATATTGCAATAGGAAGAATGGATTAAATTTTTTTTCTCCTCTTTTGACATAAATGATTATCAGATCATTATTGATCAAATTATTATCATCAGATCATTATTGATCGATTCATTATCAACTCAACTTCTCATTCACTTCTTTACAATATTTATTTATCTAATCACTTTTTTTTTTTCTTTTCTGCAAAAACAAAAGTAACAAATTAAATACCGACAAAAAAAAAAATGTTCTTTTTTTTGTTATTTTTAAAATTTATGGTAAAAAATAAAAATTTTTGCAGGAAGAAAAAAATGATTGATGATAAATTTTTTTTAACAAATTGATAAATTTATTAACAATAATTTTTGTAATATTATTTGTATGCAACTGATAATGGGATTTACTAATGCAAAAATGTTTTCATATATAATATTATTTGATCACTGATTATCACTGATCACTAATATTTCTTTTTCAAACTTAAAAAAAAAAAGAGAGGGAAAGAAGGAAAAAGAAGAAAGAAAATGTTACATTGAAATGAACTATTGCTATTGTTTCATGATAATCAAATTTAACAATTTAATTTTAAATAATTTTAATTGCATTTTTTTTTTTTTTTTTTTGGAAAGGAAAAGGAAATTTATCATTATTTAACAAAAAAAAAAAGAAAAATAAGAATTTTGATCACTCATAAAAATTATTTCCTTTTTTTTTCCATTTTAACTGTATAATCTTTTTTTGCATATGAAATAATAAAAAGCTATCGAAGAAGTGCCATGAAATAACAATACTGGTTGATAATTTATTGTTTTTAACAACAACAACAACACAACTTTTACTAACTTAACTAAACTTTATCATCACTCACATTTATTTGCCTTCCTAATTAGTTAATTAAATGCAAATAATTAATTGTGATTAGCAGTCTGCATTCGCACAATTTGGTAGACAAATAGCTGATCACAAATGTATCAATTTGAATGGATGATTTAATTAATTAGTCAATCAATTAATCAATCAGTTGATCAATATGGTAGATATATTCGAATAATCAGGAAAGCATTATGCAATTTATCAGATTCAACAAATTTATTTCCTCTTTTTGGCTTATTTTATTTGAAATCAATTAAAATGCATAATTGAAAATGAATTTATAAAATTTGATATCAATTTAATCACTATCATTCATTTTTACGCTATCATAATTTTTTGCTTTTTGTGTAAATTGCATAATAATTTAGATGAATTGCTAGCCAATCATTTAATTTAAAATTAAAACAAAGTGATATGATATGATGCGATGAAAATATTTGCCAATTTATATTCAAGAATAATTCATGCATCACAATGATTTATTTTTTCTTAATATGAAAATGCAATTTGGAATGAATGTGAATTTAAATTTTTAAATGATGAGATTAATTAATTTACAATTAGTTTAGCTTTTCAATAATCAATTAATGAAATTAGCATTTATTTATACCGATTAAGCATGACAGAAAATCAAAACAGATCACTTATTACATTTTTTTAACAATAATTTTATAATTCATTATAAAATATCAAATATTTGCGAATTTGAAAATTGTTCGAATCGTTTCCCAAATCAATCGAAAGTATTTTTTTTTTTTTTGCCTCATTAGAAATCTTTTCTAATTTTAATCCTAACAATTTTATTAAAATGTTTAAACCAATATTACAGATTTTATTTGCGCATAAATAATCGTGAAAAATAGCAAAACTATTTGTTTATTTGATAAAAAAATATATACAAAATATTTAAAAAAATAAATTATGTTGCTAAGTTTGCTTTTAACTTATCTATCAACTAGCAATAACACTTGAAATGGAAAAAATAAATTTTGAATATTATCAGAGAAATATTTAACAACCATTTGCATATGAAAGCTACATATTAAGTATCTGCTGTGATATCACTTGATAATGGTGATAACGATGATAATATGTTTTTAGTTCACACAGAAGTATATATTTGGGATATCTTGATGAATGATTTAGAGCATTTAATAAAATCAACATTACAGTGATTTTCAACTTTATGATAATATCATTTGTTATTTGATCTGTCATTCAAGAAAACAAAGTGCAGTTGATTAACTCTTACTGATAACAGCACGAAAAGTATCAAATTATACTGTAGTGATAAGAAATTAATCATTTTGCTAAAGAGCAATAAAAAAAATGACAATGCTATAAATATTTTAACCGATTATTTATAATTAACAAAAATGAAGCATGAGATGGTGGTAATAAATTGCTATGATAAAAATTGTACTAACATAGTGATAATGATAACCAGGGATATAATAATACAAGCAATTGCCTTACTGATGATAAATCACTATAACAATCATCGATAATGTACTGATGATAGTAACTGATAACTGTTATGGAATTGGCTTATGGAATAGTTTTGAAATTTTTAACTTAGTGATAAAAAAAATTGATAGTTAAAATATTAGTTAGAAGAAATTGGTCAAGAAAAATTCAAATTTTTGACTCAAAATAAAATAAAAAATGTAAACAAATAATATTCCAATATCTATAATAAGTAAAATATCAAACTTATTGTTTGCGATAATGATAATTTTCATGTTCTTATCAGTGCTATCTTTGATAAAAACAGAACATTCAAAATAAAATAAAAATTTAAGCAAGTAATATTGCAATAGCCATAATAAATAAAATATCAAACATTTTTTCAAAATTTCGCTCATATTATTTATGATAATGATAACTGTCCTATTCTTATCAGTGCTATCTTTGATATAAAAAAGAACTTTCACAAAAATAAAAATCGAAGCAAATAATATTCTAATATAAGTAAAATATCGCTCTTATTGTTTATATAACTTCTTATCAGTGCTTTGTTAGTTATAAAGCACTGATAAGATAATATTAAAGGAGATCTGCAGTTCATCCTTCATAATTATTTAATATTTATCAGATTATTAATTATTTTTCATCTGTAGTACTCTGCGAACCTGGTCATTATCATAGTCTCTTATCAAAGCGATGCGAGCACTGTCCACGTGGCTACTATCAGCATCGATCCGGTCGACCACGTTGCAACAAATGTCCCCAAGGCTATACGACATTAGCAATTGGATCACTTAATGTTACCGCATGTGTTGGTTTGTGTTTGCTTAATTCTTTTTAAAAAAAAAACAAAATATCAAAATTTATTTTCATTTTTTAAATCTTATCGATTACATTTAAAATGATCAAAAGATTGCAGTAGAATGCTCTGCTGGTTATTTCTTGAACGAAATAACTGATAAATGTGAACCATGCGGTTATTTGGCTTATCAACCAAATTCAGGCTCAACATATTGTTTACCATGTCCACAAAATACTGTTACATTAAGCATCAATTCAACTTTAATTGATCAATGTATTGGTAAAAATTTTTCTATAATAATGTTAATAAGTAATTATTTAAATCATTGTATAATATTCATTCATTTTCGAAGTATTTATTAAAAAGTAAACAAATGCTTTTTGTTTTTTTTTGCCAGTTATAATCAATAATTAACAATTAAATCTGTTATATTTTCAATCATAAACTGATCTGCTATTCCTTGTAATTCAGAAAATTGTCCAGCGGGACAGGAACATTCATCTGATGGTGGTTGTAAACCGTGTCAACGTGGTTTCTTCAAAGAATCAAATGATCTGTTATGCCGACCCTGTGATCCGACATATACCACCGAATCGGTTGGTTCAGTAAGCGAAAAATCTTGCATATTACGTTAGTTCTTAATTATACATTCATTTCCTTTTTTTTTTTTTTTTTTTTTTTTCATAATTCATTAAACGAACATAATGAAAAATTAATTTAGCACTAAAAAAGAATGTATATTGTCACACTGAAAAGATTAATAACAGAAAATTTCAATTATATTAGTTTAATAAAACGATAGCAAATTAATAATTGAAATTATTAATAAGAAAGTTCATTACGATTATTACAAAACTTTTGTGCATTTTCATTATTTGATGTATCATAATTATAAAATAATATAATATTATTTTTGAAATTTGCTTAATTTGATAATTCTAGCAAGCTGTCAACAAGGATACTATTTAAATTGGTACTACAAACAATGCTTGAATTGTAGCTATGGTTACTATCAGGATGAAATTGGTTCTAATGCTTGTAAACAGTGCCCATCCGGTACTACAACAAGGATTCTTGGTAATTATTTTTTTATGCATTACTAATGAAAGAGATTGAAATACAATCAAAAAACAAGCTAAGGCTAGATTAATTAAGTTTCAAATTTGCTTGTTTATTTATTTATTTCTTCAGTTATTGATTGGTTTCTATATTCATTTATCTATTTTCCTGTTTATTTATTCAGTTATTGATTGATTTTCCATATTTGTTTATTTCTTCCTGCACTTATTTATCTATTTATTTATTTCTTCAGTTATTGATCGATTTCTATATTTATTTATTCAGGTGCAACATCAATTGAAACTTGTGTTTCAACCAATCAATGCGCAAGCGGTGAGCATCGGTGTCACTGGTTAGCAGCATGTATCGATTTACCTGATAACGAGAATAAGCCAGCATATAGCTGTCGATGTCAACCAGGTTTTGTTGGAAATGGATTTACCTGTACAGGTTAGTCTAGCATTAAATAATTCAACTTATAGTAAAACTTATTGCTAAATGGTTAATATCATTTTATTTGACTCAGTCAGATCAGATAATTATATTTGTTAATAGATTAAACTATTCATTGATCAAATTAATTAAAATAATTTAACTATTAATTTCATTTACCAAATAATATTCAATATCCGCTGAAAATGTCACTCAAACTTTATTGGTAAATTGTCTTATTGATTGGCAGTTGATCAATAAATTTTGATCTATTTAATTTTACAAATAATCTGAAATCTAAAAGGCATCATTTAATTCAGTAAAATATACTGTACAGACGTAAGAATTGCTATAATTATTTTAAGATACGTTAAAATAATAATGTCAATATTATCATTTACCCAAATTTACAAAAATAAATATTTTAATATGCTCCTAAAAAGAATTTGTTTATTTATTTTTTTTTTTAATTTCAGATATTTGTTTAAATTTATGCTATAATAATGCGGAATGTATAAAGACATCACGTGGTGAACCACGATGTATCTGTAAGCCAGGCTATCGAGGATTACGTTGTGAAATTAAAAAATGATTAAATAATCATTAAAATATCGATAATTTATTTTAATCAGTAATATTTCAAATTTATTCCGACCTATAATTTATTGTTTGTTTTTTTATTCTTTTTTGTTTTCTATTTTGTTTCTTGTTTTTTTTTTTTCTTTTTTTTCTTCAAATTGGAATTTTTAAGATAAAATAAACAATTAGTGAAATGCAAAATGAAATAAATCGTCAAGTATTTGTACAAATTTTATTAATAAACAATATTAATTAGATGTGATGAATGTAGAAAAAAAAAATTAAAAAATGAATTAATTAATAAATTTGATTAATATGCAAAATATAATTGTAATTGATCATTTGTAATTTTATAAAGTTTACCAATAATTAGTCCAAAATTTTGTTAATTTCAATAATTTTGTGCAAAGAAAATCAAAAGTTTATATTTAACATTTATAAATGAGAAAAAAAGAGAAAAAAAAAAGATTGATTTTTCGATTATTGAATTCTGAATAAATAAATATTAATATATGAAATATATTTATATCACATTAAAATAATTTATAAAATGTTTATTCAAATTTTTAACCAAGAAAACAATATTTTTTTTTAATTAACTGAGAAATGTTAACAATTACAATAATATGTTATCACTATTATTGCTAACATTTTTATTAAATTATTTCATATGATTTTATCACTTTGATTTTTATTTTATAATGTCCACTGATTAGTGATTATTTGATAAACCAATAAATCTTTGCATAAACTAAGAGAAAAGCAATCACATTTTGTATTAACAATTAATTCAAAGCGAATATTTTACCATTTTCTTTTTTCTCTTCAAAGAATTTAATTTTGAAAATATATGAAATTATTGAATTAAGCAATTAATAATTTTCAAGCAATTATAGCAATTTTTTTCATCAGTAATTACTTTGTTAGTAGTAATGAATTACTCTAGAATTCAATAAATATAAACTCTATTTCAATTATTTCTTTTTTCTGTTATTTAAAAAAAGTGAAATTTGCTTTTTTTTTCTCAATTTTTTGTATTAATCGTCAACTTTTCGAATTTCTTTTCCTTTTGTGCTACACTAATTTGGGAATTTTTTTTTTACCACTAAGAAAAAATTCAATTTTTAATAAAATTTTAGAAAATATATGAGTTTAGAAAAAATATATCAAATTTTGAGCATAATAACACTGTGATTGGATGGATAAAAAAATTAGAATAAAATAATACAAGAAAAAAATTCATCAAAATTTAGTTTTTCTTTTTTTTTTTTTCTATATTTATTTGATAAAATAACGAAATGAATTTTTCAAATTACATCCAAATAGCATTTAAATATTTGTAAACACACTGAAAAAAGAAAAAAAAAATTAAATAAATTATTCTTATAACACCCATTTCGAGCAAAACAAAAACAAGACAAAGAAGTGAAAAAATATATTAAAACATGAAATTTCAACTAAAATGCTACATCAAAAAAAAAATCGTCAAAATGAAAATTTTGAAAAATACAATAATGAATAAATTTTAATAAGAATAAACCGTCAAATTTTATTATTCAATAAATATAAATTTACATCATTAAATTAAAAAATCAGCAATTATGTTAAAGTTTTTAGAGAAAGTCACTCATAACAAATAATTATTTGCAACCCATACAATCTCACCCAATTTTAATTGAAATTTTCGTTTTTTTTTTTTAATTTAATAGAATCAGTTTTAATGAAATTTTATTTTCGAACTTCAAAATATTCTTATAAATTTGGCAAAATATTTTTTAGCAAAAAATTAATCTTTCAAATTCATATAAATGTTGAAATTTAGTAACTTTCAATTTGATATAAAAGGTCTAAAAAAAGAGAAAAGAAAAAACATGTAAATAAATACATAACTTATGTTCTTCTTTTCTTTAATTCTTTTTTTTTTTTTTGCTTTTTCAAAATGTGCAAGAAAAATTGTTTACTCACAAAATATAACCTAAAAATGAGATCAGCACAAAAAAAAAAATAGAGAGTATTTATTAGCTAACAATGAAGCAGTTATTGTACATCAAAGTAAACTATTGAAAAAATTTTTTTTTCTTTTCAGAAGGAAAAATTTTAAAAAAAAAATAAAAGTAATTAAAATTTGTAAATTTTTTGCCTAAAAATTTATTTACTTTCAAAAAAAAAAAAAAAAAGGAAAAAAACAGAACCAAACATTTTATTCAAATTTAGTCATACAATAGAAATAATAATAATTGATGAATAATTAATGCCTGATTAATATTAATTAACTTTGATATTGAATATTTGTCGTTGGTGGTTGGCAGCTAACCCGTAGTGCCAAACTTTTTTGATAGAAATCCTCTGCTGGATCAGTCCTAAATTTGCTAAATTGTTAATTTTGGAAAAGAATAATCAAATTTTGATTGGAAAATTTGTTAACAAAAAAAAAAGTATTTAAAAAAAAAAAAAAAAAAAATTAAGAAATGAAAAATACGTTGTCATTGGTGCGCCAAATGTATGAGCACTTGATACAGCTCCATAAGCAGAAGCTGCTGGATAGGTCATTGGATGAGCTACAGGATATGGCTGATACCTGAAATTATTTATCAACAAAATGTTATTATTCGTATCAGTAATTAAAAAATTAATTTTTTTGAATTAATTCAAAAATAAATCAATTAAAAGATTGTTTAGTTTGAAATTTATAGATTTCATTTTAATTGATAGAAATCGTAAGTAATAATTTTAAATTGGTAAAAAGTTAAATAATATGAAATGATTTCAAAATCAATATTACTTGTTAATTTTTATTTTCAAATATAATATTTTGAAACATTTACAAAACTTAAAATATTTTTTTTTTTTAAATGCAAACTTAAACTATGTATGAAATGATTTCAACTATTAAATGCTTTTAAAATTAATATTGCTTATTAATTTTTATTTTCAAAGTTAATATTTTCAAACATTTTGCAGAATTTAAAATATTTTTCCAAATACAACTTTAAATTTTATAAATTTTATTTACCAGAAAGGATCAGCAGCAGCTCTAGCAGACATTGCGGCAGTAGATGGATACATTGGTGTTCGCATTATTTGACCTGTAGCACTTTGTGATGGAAATACCGTTTGTGGTACCAAAGCTTTTGATAGTTGCTTTTCTTGTTTACGATGCTTTGCACGCCTATTTTGAAACCATACCTAATAATAATAATAATAATATGAAGTACTTCCTCTAAATTTTATTTTCATCTTTAAACAAATTCTTTTATAATAATATAGTTTTTTCCTTTTCATAAAATTTCTTAATTTTGTTTTTGCTTTTTTTTTTTTTTTGTTTTTTTGAATTATTTTATCACGATTAATTGGAATAAATTTAATTGTTTATGGTATATAAATTAAATAGTATTAAATTTAATTCGTTTTATTAAAACTTATCCGATTGCGTCAAAAGAAGGTAATAAAAGTGAAATACTGATAAGGTATATATCCGATTAAGTAGAACATAGATTTTTTTTTTATCAATATGATATCATGAAATCAAAATTAATCGTTTGATAATTTTAGTTGAACGAAAAAATTTTTCTCAATTAATAAAAAATCAATAAGTAACAGTCAGAAAATTAATTTCATCGAGGTAAGCAAAAAACTAATTAATAAATTGTATTATGATAATACTAAAATAATCAACGATAATTTTCCGGATTATTTCCGAATTAGCAAAATCCGAATTAGGAAAATATAGTTATAAATGCTTCGTTTACTGTTTCCTTATGGTATATACTAGTTTAAAATTCTAATCAAACTACTGCATAACACTTTCTTGAATTGCCATACAATTTCACTGGTAGAAAGGAAAGTGGAAGTTAATTTAATTTTCGATTCATTCGTTACACAGAAAGTTATAAATAGACACACAGACACACAGAGAGAGAGAGAGAGAGAGAGAGGGAGAGAGAGAGAAAGAAAGTGAAGTAAAAGATAAGCAAGAGCAATCATCTAAAAATCTTACTTATTCTACTAGTATCTACTAGCTAAAGCATTTTCCCTAAAATCATTCATTCTTATTTATTTTACTTTATATTACTTACTTACATACTAGGTTGATTGAAATTTTCTTGATAAAGATAAAAACATAGAGAGAGAGAGAGAGAGAGAGAGAGAGAAAGCTAAAGAAAATTGTTTGAAAACGGAAAATGCTCAATTGTATTGGAGAGAAAATAAAACGAAGTCACAATTAATATGCATTCAACGAATGACGACGATGACGAGAATACATAGCAAAATGTGATGTGTAGCTTTGTTCATCGTCTTTTTCCTCAAACAGATTACGGTAATAGCTAGCTAACTAACTAAGCTTAAGCAATAATTTCAATATCGAGCTTTGGTCTTATTTTAAATTATAATCACTAATATTGTCATATATTTCTTTCTTCCTTCCTCTATTATTATTATTATTGCTATTATTATTATTATTGACCATTCAATATAGCATTAAAAAAATTATCAAACACAAAAAAATATATTTTATCATATATTTCTTTTCATTATTATTATTAAACAAAAATGAATTATAATTTATGTTTATCAGAAGTGTTACATATTTTTCATTTAATAATTATAGCATCAAAAAATTATCAAATGAAAAAAAATTCTTTTATCATATTTTTTTTTTCTTTTTTATTGAACAAAAATAAATTATAATTGTGTTTATCAAAATTGTTAGATATTTTTCATTCAAATAATTGTAGCATTAATAAATTTAAAAAAAAAAAAATATTTCTTTTAAAAATAACTGAAATTTTAAATGTAAAATAATTATGTAAAAAAATAATTATATATGAAATAATGATAGAAAATTGCAATTGAGATAAAAATATCGAATGATTTCAAAATTTTTACATTGTATTAATCGTATCAGAAATGGAAAAAAAATTAGTTAAATAAATTCGATATAAATTTTACACAATTACATTGCTTTTTTATAGACAAAAAGAAAAGGCTAACAGTAAAAATTTTTTAAATCGTTTTTTAGACATATTATTTTGATAAAGAATACAATAACATTAATTTTTTCCTTTTCAAAATTTTCTAATTTTTTTTTTATATTAAACTAAGCTACTTTTCCCCCATTTAAAGTATTTGCTTATTTAAATTTTTGTAGTTTATTGGAAAATAAAAAATTTAGAAATGAATAAAAAAGCAATGAAAAAAAATGAAATCGTAATGAAAGGAGAAAACTGCAATGAAATAAGAAAATAATTTAATTTATTGAATGCCAATAACTTGATCAAGAGGACTGGGAATAAAAGATAGTCCCAAAGGGAAATGGAAAAATGGTTGAAAAACTTTTTTCTTCGTTTCCATAATGTATCAAATATTTTTTAAATATGTAAGATATGTCAATTATACAATTGCTTGGAGTACTTTTCAAAGTTAATTTCAATATTTTAAAGATTACCGACTAATTAAATAATCTTTTTGATAACAACTAACAAATGTGCCTTAAAAAAGAGAATAAATTTAGTCTAACAATATCTGAAAAAAGTCATACTTCACTGTCATTGAAAATGAATTAATCATTATTTTAATTTAAATGAATATGAATCAGTTACTATTTTATTATTATAATGTATATTTATTTGTTTCTTTCCTTTAAATCAAAAAATAAATTTCATTAATTTAATCTACAAAAAGAAAAACTTTAACTGTTATAATATTTTAATGTAGTAAAATAATTGAAAAGCACTTAAATGAGTGGGAAAAAAACTGTTGAAATTTTTTGAATAATTTCTTTTTTCTTTCACCAAAAATTATTTATTCAAAAATATTGACTTTTTTTTTAATTAATTATGAGAGAAAAGAAGATAAAAATTACCAAAAAAATTTTTTACTGTCATAAATATTTCTCCCAAAAATTATTTATTCAAAAATATTAAATTTATTATAAATTAAGAAGGAAAAAAAAAAAATAGAAAAAATTGTCAAAAAATTTTTTGCTTTTTCCCTCATTTCTAAGATAAATTTATGCGGTAAAAAAGGAAACCAATGAATTGAAACAGTAGTTAAAGTTGTTGTTATTTATAAATTTGATGTACAGATGGTATAATCGGTATATGATGCCATCATGGCTTATGAGAAAAGGTGAAATAAGGATAAATGGAAGAGAGAGAGAGAATAGGGAGAGGAAGAGAGAGAGGGAGAAAATACCCTGCTGAGAGTATAAGTTAGCTTTAGTGCTACAGCTAATTGCATGAAATAAGCTTACTGAAGAGCTGATAATTATGGGTTTGAAGTGGGTACAAAATGTTAAATCCATCTTTTGTATTATCTCTTACCCAAAATTGTTTTCTCTTTTTTCAAACATTTTCTCTTCATTTTTACATCTGTTTCATTCTATTCTCTATCATTCTTTCAAATGAAATCATAGAAAATAAACAAAAGAACAACAACAACAAAATAAAAAAAATGTAAACAAAAAAGTAAATAAAGTATACAGATGTTTTGAATAGTTTGTTGTTGTATTTATAAAAGAATTTTACATCAATAGCAATGCTAGATGATGACCTTTAATGACCCTTCTTTTCTTTTTTTCCTCTCTTTTTTTTTTGCATTTCTGCAATGATTATGAGTTAATTAGCAAAAGAGATTTGAGAAGAAAAGAAGAAAAAAAAAAATAGTTAATTTGAAAAATTTTAACTTATTTATATATAATCTTATCCATAGATTAAACGATAAAATTAGTAATTATTAATAATTATTATAATAATATCACAATTTGAAAAAAAAAAAATTATATATTTTTATCTACAGATGATTTTTTAATTAAAAATTTTTAAAATTTGATAATCAAATTGCAATAAAATGATAGCTTTTTTATATTCAATGATTCGTATAAGACAATCAGTGCTATCATAACTCAATTGTAATTTGATCCAAAATTAGATATATGAATCAATGATAGTAATCAAAATAGCATTTTTGCCTGTCTCTTCTCTCTCTCTCTCTCTCTCTCTCTCTGTTATCCCTGCTTCTTTCCAATAATTTCTATGAGATTGGAAATTCAAACCACTTACAGTAATATCTTTCGCACAGTTTCATTTAATGCAACAAAATTACTTTCAACAATTTTTTTAGTTTTTAAAATAATATTAAATAAAAATATGAAAAAATTCTTTTGTATGATATTTTATGATTTTTTGATATTATTTTCGAAATGTAATTGAATTATTATAGGTTGATAATTTTAAATTGTTAAAAAAAAATTTTTACCTGAATTCGTGCTTCATTTAACTTTGTAATCCTAGCAAGTTCCTCACGGACATAAATATCAGGATAGTGTGATTTCTGAAATGCAGCATCAAGCTCTGCTAGCTGTTCTTGCGTGAATGTCGTACGATGTCGTCTTCGTACGCTTTAAGCAAAGAAAAAAATTATTTTATTTATTCTAAAGTAAAGAAATCAAATCAATAAAATGTATAAAAATTAGATAAAAAAAAAAAAAAAAAATATTGCATAAAAAGAATTAGTTTTCTTCTATTAAAATCAAACTTTTTTTTTTTTTTTTTTTGCAAATATGTTCGATTAAAATGACCGTAATCTTTCCATTATCTTTTTGCTTATTATTTTTATCAGATATTATAATATATTAAAAAAATTTTTTTAAATATTAAAATTTGAAGGTCAACGAATTGAAAGGAAAAAATATTTACCTGGCAGGTATTTGAGAACCAGCTGAAAGAGCGCTTGCAAAAACAGATGATGCACTGCAACTACTGCTTTCTGCTTTAATTTTTTTAAATGCACCATCTATAAAATTAATCAAGTATAAGAGAAAAGAAAGCAACAACAACTTTTTAAAATTTGGCAAAAATTTTTTTTTTAATTTCTATAGAAATTTTTAAAATCAATTTTGCATTGAATTAATACACCGAATATGAATGGTTAGTGATTTTTAAATGGGCAGATGTTTTGAGCTCCCTGGAAAGCATCCCAATGAACAACAAAAGATTAACTCTATCAATTCATACTTAATACCATTCAATCAAATATAAATACATAGTGAATTGAAAATAGCTCATTGAATAAACTGAAATTTTTGAAAATTTTCAAAAATTAAATCATTAAAAAGAAAAAAAAAACTCTCGAGAAAGAAAATGATAGCAAAGAAATAACTGAAGGGGAAAAAAAATAAAAAAAAAAATAGAAATCGTTTTTTTAAAAAAAAATTATTTGTTTTGTAGTTTTTTTTTACCAGAAGAATCACCGATCGGTCGTAAACTATTGGATACAGATGCATCGAGCGGTGGATAATACGGGAAATCGGTAAGTGCATGCGCTAAATCTTTACCCTTCAATTGCTCCTGAAACTGCAAACTAACAAGGTATGTTGCAGTTGTTGAGAGCATACTTCAAAATTGCTTTTACAGATTCTGAAATAAATAACTTAGAGAAAATTCTTATTATTAATTAACAACTAAGTGTTACGGATCGAAATAATTACCTTTTATAAATTAGTAATAATTATTTCTTAAATATTTTTTTTTTTTTTTGAAAAAAAAACTGTTTGATCATATTAAATTATACTATTTATATTGATCAATAATCATTTCAAAATGAACTAAGCTTTCTAACTAAATGTGATTACATACCGACATAATTATCATTTATAAATCTTTTAAATATGATTATAAATTATTAATAATAATTTTTAAAATACTTTTTTCTTGAAAAATACTGTTCGACCATATTAATGAAACTATTTGAATTAAATAAATTAAGTTTTATATTCATCAGTAATTAATTTAAGTGAAATAAGCTTTCCGTATAAGACAGAAAATCATCTAATTGGTAGATTCAGGATGAATGATATATCAACAATTATCTTCTCTCTCTCTCTCTCTCTCTCTCTCTTCCTCTCTCTGTCTCTCCCTCTCCTCTCATTCATCAGTTAATCTATTAACAGTTACAAATTGCAAAGATTGAAATGACATTGAAAAAAAATCAATTTTCGACAATAAAGCTTAATTCACTAAAAAAAAAAAAAAAAAACTAAACACGACTACCACTAAGAAAGAAATTGCTTTTTTCTAAAAAAAAATGTCAAAACTAAAAAAAAATATTTGATTTTCTATGATCAGTTATATTCTTATTTCATTTATATTACAAACTTATAGATAAAATTATCATAATGACATAACAATGATAATCAATAAAAAAATAAATAAATTTCAATTCTAATCTATTTATATTCAAGTAATATAGCCAGGTAGGTGAAGGGATAAAGGAAGGAAATAAATAAATAAATAAATAAAAATAATAAAGTAAAAAAGATAGAGGAGGGCTCATACGGTGTACGTCCAAATTAAATTTTCCATAATTACTTTAGAAATAAACAAAATCGAAACATATAGAGAAAGTTTGACATAATACTGAAAATGAAGAGGATATTACAGATATGTAGGAAAAAGAAGATAATACTACTAGATGAACAATTAGGTTCCCATCTTTCTCTTAAAGCATTAATGCTCAAACAAATTATGATAAATTAGCGCATTCGTCCTGTTGTTTGCGGTAGTTGTTAGTAAGTGCTATTCACATAGCTTCAAATATTCCAATTTATTTCATTTCATTTCATTTCATTTCATTACATTTCATTCATTCATTCATTCACTGATCACATCTGTCGGCATTTTAGTGCAACTCGTACGATTTAACTTAACATGGAATCATTTATCTATTATAATATCATTTTTCTTTTATCTTTTATTTTTGTTTTCTTTTTTTTTTTCACCTTCTTAATCATCATTCTTTCTCATATAAAATTAGAATGATTGTTGTGAAAAATTAAAATGTTCATTTATGAAATTTGAATTTTAATATAGACATTTTTTTATTGCAAACAAATAGTTAACTATTTTGATTACAATTTATTATATATGTGTCATTTATTAGAAAATTTAAAATTGGTCATATAACATTGTTTAAACATCAATCAATTTTATAGATAGGAAAATATTTTATTAAATAATTACTATTTCTGAGATAAGCAATTAAAAAAGCTGAAAATTTTTAACTTATTAAAGTTGTTTAGTTTAAAATTCATTAATTTTTAAAGGTTAAGTTTGGCTGAAACATTTTGAAATATGGAGAATATTTTTTATACAATAAGTTAATATTATGATATGAAATACTTTTTAGTTATACACATTTATTGATACATATTTTGAAGGCGTATGGTATTACTACAATTAGACAATATCATTTTTTTATTTATAATTAAAAGATTATTTATGAGATTACGAATGAAGATATGTTATCAAAGTTATTTGTAATTTAATAAAGTAAACTTTTGTGATTAAGGTTTCATTTCATCCTTTCTTTCGTCCCTATCATTGCATTATCAATAGATTCTAAATTTTTCTTCTTTTTTTAAAAGAAGCGTTATAATGAAGTTCACTCATATAATACTATCTGATTAGGATGATTTGCTTATTGAAAATAAGATTAAAAAAAAAAAAAGAAAAACTGAACATATAAATTAATTTGGCGAATTAAATTAAAATCATTAAGATATAAATGTATTAAATGTTATATATAATAATAAAATGATTAATAAATGATTATTAAATGATTAATTTTAAATGAAGGGAAATGGTGTGAATGGTACCTGTGTGATTGCGGTGACAGCTGCAACGGTGCTGCTTGCACCATTAAGAATAGTAGTTGTGGTACTTAATCCTTCACTAGTCATCGACCAAAAAGGATACCGTTTTTTTTAAAAAAAAAAAAGAAAAAAAAAGGAGGAGGCAAGTAGCTTAGTGAATTATTTACTTTACTTAGTTAGTGATTCGTAAAGAGACCACAGATTTAATTTGTAAAATGTTTGTTATTAGCTTTTCGGCTTCTTTTTTTGTTGCTAATATTGTCTTAGCTTGATAATGATGTTGTTGATGATGATTGGTAGAGTGATTGATTGGCTTGGATGACTGTAAATAGGTGACGTAACTGTTGTGACGTTAAATAAATTTGATAATGAGAATTAGAAGTGATGATAATTTGATGATATTATATAATTACAGTAAATAAAATTTGGGGACAAGTGTAGAATTGATGTGACAGACAACGGTGGATAACTTGGTTTTCTGCCTTGGAAAAATGAGATCACCGCTGATGCATTAGACACATATATGCACCACCACTTTGCACTTCCTGCAAATACTTTTTTAGGCTTTGTATGGAATAAACAGAAGAGGGAGAGAAGAAAGAAGAAAAAATGGCCTTAAAAAGCTATTATCAACTAAGAAATAGGCGGATGAACGGCTTGGTTAAAGGATTGGTTTGGAATACGGGGAAAGGTGGAAAAAGAGCCTATGTGAATGATTGTTATGCCTTTTACAAGCTATTTATCATTCTTTTCTTCCTTCTTTTTTCTCTCTTTCTTTCTCCCTTTCTTTCTCCTTTTCTTTCTTACAATCTCCTTTTGTCGCCGGTTGCAGTCATCAAAATGACGAACTGCTTGCTGCATGCCATGCAACTACCTCAGCTGACAACATGAATTATAGCTTTATTGGATTTACTTGCCTCTATTTATTCTTACTTCGGGATACGGTATCTCTCTTACCCTATCATCTACACACCTCTTTCCACCTCTCCCTCTCTCTCCCTCCTTCTCTCTCTGTCTCTCTCTTATTCTTTTCCCTCCGATAAAGTCAAACTCATCAACATCTATTCGTCATAGCTTTTCCTATGTTGTCAAGCAGCTGGCCTGATTACTTTGGCTAGTTTAGGCTTATATGCCCTTACTCCTATATATAAGTTGATTTGATTATAGGCTGATGAATTGATAAAGAAGTAAGGAATAAGAGAGAGAGGGAGAGAGAAAGAAAAAGAGGGGAGAGAAAGAAGGATACTACCTATGCACAACAACTCTCTCTTTCCTAGCATTAATCTTAAGGTACGAGTTTTATTGAAATTTAAAATCTGAAATTAAATATTCGAATAAATTTAAAAACAAATACTTGAAATAGAAACATGCATTTATGAGAAAGCAATGACATGAATCTGATATTATTCAGATAGGTAATTCCTCACTTTAAGTGGTTATTGAAACAAATTAATGATGATGCCGACAAAGTGATCAGATAGGTCAAGAGGGATTCATTGATCATTTGATATGATCTAATAATGATAGTGTAAATCATTTCCCATAAAAGATAAACGTAATTAATGAATTAATTTCATTTAGTTAAATCTAAAATCTTAATTAGCTAAATTAAATCTAATTTAACTAGTAATTCACTTTTCAAATGAAGAAAAAAATATGAGTTAGAAATTCACATCAAAGCATAGTAATATATTATTTTGTTCTGAAAAAAAAAAAAAAAATACTTCAATAGTAAATTCATTAATAAATAATTCATTTCAAATGAAAGTGAATTTGCATTAATTATATTCAAACTGCTTCGAATCTTTGCAACTTATTAATTATATCAAAATAGATTTTTTTTTGGATTTTGTCAAATTTTAAAATATCTGTCTTCATATATTTTAGCAGTATTTAACAATATAATAAAATAAGAAATGTTAAATTTAATATCAGAAATTTATTATGCAAATGGAAGCTAAACTTTTAATATTTCATTTATTCATGCCGGAACAACACTTACTATTTTAATTAACACAATTAGTTAATTAATCTTTCACTATTATATCACTTTCAAACTTCAAATACATTGATACCTTTCATTAATTGTGTTAATTAATTGATGAACAGCAAAAAGTTGAGAAATTTTTGTTAAAATTTAAACGAAGAAAACATTTATGAGGAATATTTCATAAGTTACAATAATTTTTTATCTTCAAAAAACAGAAGTAATAGCTGTTTAATCTAATCTTTGATTAGTTTTAAAATAATTGCAACAATTTATTTCTATTGAAATGAATGAAATATTCAATTACATAATGATTGCTTATCTAGCTGAAGAAATAATTCATTTTTTTTTTTATCAATTTATCATTTTTGCTATGTTTAGATGATAAGAAAAAAAAAAAAAAAAAACAAAAATAAAATTATTTCTACTCCTCCAATATTTTCATTCACACACAAAACGGAGCAGAAACAATTAGCTATAATTTTGTCAAATGAAATGAAATTTTATGGATTTATTAAATAATTTAGTGTATTTTGTTTCATTCATAAATTAGTTACTGAGTTATCGGAATTGATTGATAATTTAATTTCTCTTCAGAAATGATTCCTGATCTTTACTGAAATTAAGTTTAAATTATATGCAAAGGGTACATTTGATAATATTTTGCATGTATACACGAGGGATTGCTGTAGTTGTATATTTCAATGATAAAATTAGCTTAATTCAAGCAGATTTAATTTTTAAATTATTTTATAAATTCCAGTGTAGCAAATGCGCTAACTGCAAGTTCAGCTACTTAAACTGTTTATTTATTTTTTTTTTTTTTTCTTAGGAATTTTATTCCATTACTAATTTGTGTATTATAGAAAATGAATAGTTTAAAATTTAGTCAAAAAAATGTTTTTGAAAAGTACCACAAATTATACAAATAAAATTTTAAAATTTAATAAACAAAAAAAAGAAAAAAATTTAAACAAATTTACTTATACGTATGTTATGCTATGTGATAAAAAATTGGAAGATTAATCAAAAAATATTTGTTTAATTAAATTTTGTGAAATTTTTTTTAGTTAGAAGAAATGACGATGTGAAGAAAAAAAAGGAAACAGAACCAACTATCAATTAATTTCGAATTAACAATGCCACGAATCAATGCAAATCGCAAATGTCATTTGAGCCAAGACAAAAGCTACAAGGCTTGGCTTATTAGCTTGGCCTATTACGGATGGATAGCTAATTCGGAACTTCATCAGTTAAAACTTAAATGTAACATTAGTAAGTAAGTTATTGCATGCATTGCATGTAACTGCTGCCAATTTTTACATTACAACTTTGATTTTCTTCGTAGTAGAAAATAAAAATGAATCAATAAAGGGAAAATGGAGAGAAAGAGAGAGAGAGAGAGAGATCCAGCTAGTGAAAGATTTATTTAGCTATTGCTGAAATGTTCGAGAAATATCAGTAATCAAGGTGACAAACAAATTTAATTCATAAAATGTCACACCTGCTATAATGTAAACTGAATTAATGTCATTGAATTGAAATATTTGCATGCTATCATCCATAGCACTCTCCTAAAATAATGGTACTACTAGCAAAATAATACTAACTGTCATTCAATTATGTCCGGAATCTTTTAAACTAGCTGCGATTATTCAGTTTTTCATTATTTCCGGAATCTTCTGGAATTTATCCATCTTCTATTAATTCATTAAGTCATCCAAATAAGGAAATATTCATCGATGGCTTTCAAACTTATATGAATGATTTCATTTCTCAAATCAGAAATCTTTAAAAAAAAAAAAAGTTGAATCATTTTATGTAATGTTTGGATTAACTGGAAAATTTCAAAGTCGCCGTGAGTCTGATTTGGAACAAGGTTTATCGTTCATTTAATAAAAATATTTTATTCAAAGTTTAGAAATGGAAAATTTCTTTTCACTTTTTTTCTGACATATATTTTAGTTTTTCTTTCAAATTTTTGTTAATATTGCATTTGTAAAAGTATGATAATTAAATTTTATTAGAGAGAGATAAACAATTTATTTATTTATTTTTAATTTTTATTTTTTGAATTAATAACAAATGAATTGATTTAAGCAAATTGATTTTATAAAAAACAAATTTGTGTTAATCTTAGTTTTATTGAATGTAAATTATATTTTACAATGTTATTTTTGCTTATCAACTTTTCTTTTTGTTATATTAATACAATAGAAGAAAATGTGAAATTTTAAAGTATAGTTGAAAATCCCTTTCGTTTTTAAATTTTTTTTTTTTTTTTTTTAGAATCCAATTTAACAACTAATCCAAAAAATGATTACCAAAAATCAAAATATGGAACAGGATATCGAAATGGTTCAAAATGGTCATCTGATTGGAGTAGAAGCAGTAATACATCAAATACTTCACCGGAACATCCTATAACATTTGAAGTAACAAGCAGGTAATTCATTTCTCACATTTTAAACCTATTTTAAACCTTCCTTTCCAACATTTTTTTCTATCATTTCAGATTATCATTAAAGCTATTATTATAATATTATTATAACATAATGAATTTACTTTATCTCTGATTAATTATGATTAATTAATTTTGTTAATTAAATTTATTTACATAATTTTTGTATGAATCAATCATCTGAAAAATTTTTTCTTTTTTTTTTGAGTTTAATTTTATAATAATTGTAATAAATGTAATTTTAAGTGAAACTTTATTACTTTTTACAGCATTCCAATGTAAATTGATTTTATTTTTATGTAATGTAAATTGATATTAATTTGATTAAAAAAGTATAAATTGATATTAGTTTGATAAAAAAAAAAAAATGTAAATTGATATTAACCTGATAAAAATTCCCGCATCAGATAGATCAATAATGAAAATAGTTCAGGAATACAGAATTTGAAGAGGAGGGAAAAAGATGAATATTGAGATTAGAAGAAGTGATGATATGCATCACTGGATGGGTCAGTCGAAAAGTGAATATAAAAATAAATTTTAATTCTATTTGAAATTATTTTTGTTGGCACTTCAATATCTCTTATAGTATCACAATTTATACATACAATTGACCAGTTTTGATATTAAACCCTGTAACTAATCATAATATTTTGTACAAAAATGAGGTAAGCTTTGTATATCTATTTATTTTTTTAAATTTAAATATTACAAAATAGATTGTTTAATTTTCATTCATTTTCATTAATTAATTAATTGATTATTGCAGTGGTAGAAGATGGCTAATTTGCATGCTTATTGCTGTATCTTTACTTCTTTTCTTACTTATTACTGCAATAATAATCGCATATGCAATGAATGGTAAGTGATTAGCATTGATATTTTAAATGAATTAAATCTAAATTTAAGTGTCAATTTGAAATTGCGTCAATTTTTGTATACAATTCAAATTTTTTTTTTTTTTTTTATTTTAATGACATTAGTTAGATGTAATTAACAAATATAAAGCATAATTGATAGCTATGTGTTAAATCAGGTGGCTTTTAAGAATCAAACAAATTAAACGTGAAAATTATTTGTGTGAGCGTAATATGCCTAATAATTAAAATACAATAAATAAGAATCTTAAATATTTAATTAACTTTGACCAAATCTAAATTAAAAAAAAAAAAATACTTTTAATGAAAAAAATTTTTCATCATTTCAGTGCTTATTATCAAATTTCCATCATCAACCACAACTCATCAACCATATCCATTTATCACTTCCACCTTATCACCAAATTTTACCATTCAACCATTTCCACCACTATTTCCCACTCCAATACCACCATATAAGCCACCAATCATCACAACACTTCCAATTCCAACAGATCATCTTCAAAAACAAACATTCCTCTGCCAAATATTTCTCTTAAATCAGGCTAATGAAATTTATGCAAATCATAATCGTTTCGAATATCAACAAACATCACAAATGATTCAGAATGTGGTATGTTTTATTACAAAAAATAAAAATTAAAATAGTTTTATTTTTTTTTTTTTTTAAAAATGTACAAATTTTTCATTATTATTTAGTTGTTACAAAATAATAACTATCAAATATTTTCTTATCAATGATCATATGAATAATACTCTTAGGGCAAATTAAATTATTTTAAACTATCAAAAAATGTATTCTAATATTTTATTAGTGATTAGCATTTCCCATTCCAATACTATGTTTTAATTTTACTTTTATGAAATCTTTTATTTAAATGATTATGAGTATTATCAACAATAATATTATAGTAATAATACAAATGTATCCGAATCGAGAATTAATCATTTTCGTTTTTTTTTTTTTGGAGTGAATTTTTTTTTTTTAAATTAAACTTTTTACTTTTCCAGTTTAAATCCTCTGAATAGCTCAAATTATCATAAGTTATTTGGAAATTTATTTTTTTGCTAATGCTATATTTAAGTTAAACATTAGTAAAAATTTCACCCACATATATGATTTCTGATATAATTGAATACAAAAAATAAAATAATAGCGATATAAAATTTTCAAATAATTTTATTTCAGATATACAACCAACTTAAGCAAACGCCTTTACGGCCATATCTGGAAAATGTTTATGTGTGGTATTTGTATAATAGGTAAAAATTTTTTAATAAATTTTTTTTTTCATAAAATAAGTTATTCTTTTATTTAGTAATTAAAAAAAAATTATTTATTTTATATTTCAATTTTCATTTTCATTTTTTTTTTTTGTTTGTTTTCCAGTGGTCCTGATCTTGCTGTCGAATTTTCCATCATATTGCTTACACCATCACATCCAAATATTGGTGTAACATCGGTAAAAAATGTTTTCATTAGCGTTTTACCGGAAATTGAAGATCAATTAAATGGTACTCATATTGATAAAAATAAAATTTCCATACAATACCTTAATCATCATTAATTTTTTCTTTTCTCTTTTGACGTTTCATTTGATGTAAATATATTCATTTTCCATTTGTTTGTAAATTATTCATTAAAATTTTGACAGTATTCAATGAAGAGCCAAAAAAATTTAAAACCAAAAAATTTAAAAAGATAAAATGTTCGGGAATTGATCGAAACAAGCATCAAGTAACGAAGTGATTGATAATTTGAAATATTTATAAATGAAAGGGAAGAAAATATGCGCTAAGATCAAAGAGAAAAAAAAGAGGAAATCGAATAAGATAAACAATAAAGAGATTAAAGAGAGGGAAGTTGTTTTAGCAAATAAAGCAAATATTGAGAAAGGCTAATTAATTAATTAATTATTGCCTGATACTGTAGGATCTTAAAAATTTTTTAAAATTATCTCATTTTTATAGCTGTGGAAGTAGGTGTATATACTCTATCATATATAAATTTTTTTTCTATTATTTTATCATTAAAAAAAAATTAGTAAATTTTGAATTTCTCGAAATCTGATAAGAGATACTATGCTGTTTGTACATTTCGATATTGAATTATGCACTAAAAGTACATTAACGAAATGAAAAAAAAAAAAAGCAAATTTAAATGTTTAAATACTACCATTCATTAGTAATCGTATAAAAGATATTATTTATTATTGTTATCACTATTATTATTATCGTTATCATTGTTATTATTATTACTATTTTCTGTCTTCTTTATCAGCATATAACAACTTTTTTATTTTCTTATTTATCAGCGTAATCAGTGTGTAACCAATATTTTTTATCAATTTATTAATTTACGAATAATAAGGAATAAATTTGAGATTTGGATTTGTTTAATATTGAAAAATTAACATCACAATTGATAAAATAGTAATTATTAGAATAAATTACGCCACAAAAACTATAAGTATCTATTTAAGTGGATTAAAAACAAACAGATTATATTATTATTATTAGTATCTAATATTAAGCTTTTGATCTTTCCGAACAATTCTTTCTTAATCTTTGCATATATCTAAAGTATAACTGAAATGACAAGAAATAATTTAATACGAGAATTCATTAATAAATTCACTTATTAAATTCTGAAATTTATGAACTTAAAAAAATTATTATTCAATAAGTTAGAAATGAAATCTTTAAAATATTTATTATTTAATTTTTTCACACACAAAAAAAAAAGATTTTCGTTTTCTTTTTTTTTTTTTGTAATTAACTAAAATATTAGAAGAATAAATAAAATGAAAAGAAATGAGTATTTTATGTGATTGTAATAATGGAATGAATAAATTATGCACAAATATATACAATAAAATAAAATTAAATCAAAATTACATCAAAACATTTAGCATTGATTCTAAAATATTTAAAAGAATTATTTAGATAATAAATTTTTTATTAAATTCTCAAAATACGTACATTTTTTAGTAATTGCCTATCATTAAATGATTCATTTTGTTGTAACAATGCGGAATTTTCCAAATTGCTTAGAACAATAATTCGATCGTTTCTGCGCAAATGTTCATCCTTCTTTAATTGTTTGAATGTATTACTTAATGTAATACCAAAATGTGACAGTAATGTGCTACAGCAACAACCACAACAGCTTAAATAATAAATAGAAATTAATATCTAATCTGAATAATTGAATAATTAATTATGCAAATTTGAACTGCTAATTATTTTATTCATGAAATAGTGAAATTCTTAGAAATAATTTTTATTAATGATAAAAATTATTTGTATATGATAATTATAATCATATATTTATATCATAGTTATCAAGTTTAGATTTTATTTGAATATTTTAACAATTATTTATTGCAAAATTTTTTTTCTTCTTTTTTTTGAAATCTTCAGTATGTTAATTAATGAATTTTATATGATAATATTATGGTAGAATTTATGGAAGAGAATTTATTAAATAGTTTAGCAATGAATTATTACTTATCAGAATGTGAAAAATTAATTTTCTGGTGAAAAATTTTGATTAATTAAAGAGTAAATAACTTTTTTTTTTTTTGTTTTATATTTTTGTTTTCAATTCTTAAATTATAATTAACTGAGATAAATGAAAGAAAGCAATTTTGCTTGCAAATGTTATTTATTTATGAGGAAAAGAACGAACACTGAACAATTTCTACTTCAAAAAATTTCGAAAAATTTTTTTTGATATATTTGCTAGCCTCTTGAAAAAATTATTTATTCTTGGAATGATATTTCAACTATTCGAGTTTACAGTCAATTAAATGAATGATCTTTGATTCTAAATTAATTTTATATTTCACATTAGATAAATATATTACAAAATTCATAACTCACTAACCTTTCTAACCAATATTATACTTTAATAAGTTAAGTAATAAAATGAAAAAATAAAATTGCATTATTACCTTAAAATGTTCTATTTTAAAACTTAAATTTAAGCAATGTAAAATTGATTAACGAAGAATTTAGACTGAATGTAGTAAATACATACTACTTTTTATAAAATACTATTTGTTATGAATACTATTCGTTATAAAAAAAAAAATAAATAAATAAATAAAACTATTTATCACAAAATTTACAATATTACAAAAATTTGTCATAAAAAATATCAAAAAAATTTGTCACAAAAAAATTTAAGGATAAACTAATTGATGCCATTATGGTATTTTTAAAAGTTGTCCCATATAAGATAATAAATCGTTTCTTTTTTCTTGAAATCAATATCTTATCAATTAATTGAAATTATCAGAAAAGAAAATGATATGAAATGATGGAATAATTCTTACCCTGATATGATAAAGAAATATATGAAACCAAGTAAAATAATAATGAATAATATTGGTGCAATAATATTTCTAAAAATCCATGAGCAAACTTCTCCAAGTTTTATGAGAATTTCATCAAAACCATCACTAACACGATTTGGTACCTCAGAGAAAAAACCTTCAACCTAAATTATCAAAAATAAAAACCAAAAAAAAAAAAATCAAATTTGAATTAAAATTTGAAAGATTTTTTTTGTGGAATTTTTCTTTTTCTTTTTAAAAAATATTTTACAAATTATAGGTGTCCAAAAAAAAAACATTTCTATGCTAAAATTAATTCAGCTAAAATAATATAATTATTTAATTGATACAGTAAAATGAATTTAATCATTATCATTGCAATTATCACAAATGAATATATATATGTCTTTGTTGCATTTAACACATCAATGAAACTTATAAATTAACAATATTTAATTAAAATTGAAAAAAAATTTTTTTTTGAAACTTTTTTTAAGCAAATCTATTATAAATGATAATTGTCAAAAATTATGACTAAAATTTGAAAGCTTAATTTTTCAAAAATTTAATTTATTTCATTTTATTTAAAAAAAAAAAATAAAAGAATGGTTAATAATTTGAATGCAAAAGTGACAAAATCACTTCATCACCAGCTCCACGTAATGTTGTTTCGGCTGTTTTCATTACCGTAGCTTTCAACTTTTCGCCACTACTTTTCAAATTTTTTGCTACCATACTAAAAACATCCTTTGATTGTTCAACAAAATTCTGCGCGCTATCAAATTTTTTACCAATTTCTAAAAAGTTTTGACATTGTAAAATTGAAATTAAATTTGACGTTGAAAAAAAAAAAAACAAATTTGAACTTTTATTTTTTTAACCGTTCAATTCAATCAATTAAATACCTAATTATCGTATGTTACTAATTAACAATGAATTAATGAATTCTAAAAAATTCATTATGTTTCTAAATGATTTGTTAAGTAATTTAAGTATAAGAAAATTGCTCTTTCAACAAAAATTTCTGCAATAAAATTCGTCGTTTTAGCTTATACATAAAAATATATTGGAATTCACATTTTCAATTAAAGTAAACGAATGAGATTTTTAAATTTAGTAACACTTTGTCCTCATCAAAATCATATTTTTCTCCAAATTTAGAAAAGCTATTTTAATGACAAACTAAAGTACAATCCGGATAGAATATTAATGACAATAGTAATTATAATAATAATATTGGTAGTAAAACTGATGATAACAATAATAATAGTAATAATAATAATGATAAATGATGATGAATCAATGCATTTTAAAATAAAGAAAAAGAAAATTATTTGGATTATATTTGCTTAATTTCAGCAAATTTTTGTGTCATTTTAATATTTCATATATCGGAAAAAATATGAAACTTCAATTTTATGAATATAATTTCTTTTCTTAGTTCCAATAATCAATTCTTTCTGATTTTTTTTTTTTTTCAAAAATTGAAGTTTGCTTTCGTTTTCATTTTAAAAAATTATATATTGAGAATTGTTAAATTCAGAGCTCAGAGCATATCTGTAACATAGTTTTATTAATTTTTTAAAGATTAGGGAAAAAAAAACTTTGAATTATTCAAATAACTTATCAACTGGGAAGTCACAATAACAATTAGCGTATCAGTTATAAATTTTTACCGATGGTAAGTTATTTTATAATAATTTAAATTACAAAATAAAGTTAAATTGTAATTGCAAATGATCAAAAAATTTAAAGCTTAAAATAACAAATGATCCGTTGTAAAAATTCGTCAATTATTAAAATTAACGTCAAAAAAATAATTTTTGTTAATTAAAGTTAGCTGGTTTTTTTTTCTTTAGAATTATTAAAATTCAAATGTTTTTTATCAAAATAAAATAATTAAAAATAAAAAATTAACAAACCATTCAAAAATTGATTAGATTTTTCACCAATTTTTTGTTGTGTTTGCTGAAAGAATTGTTTCATACTTTCTGTCCATTCATCGGTCAAAAATGACATTGCATTTGCGCCAACAATTAATGTTATCAAGAAATTAATCACTAAACACATATCTAAAATTGATTTATTTATTTACTTATTTTTTTCTAAAATTAAATTAACATTAAAAGATTTGTTTTTTTATTTATTTTTTTTCATAAATTACTTAATAATTTATTCACGCAACACTAAAATTTATTACACAAAGGCTAATTTTCGGAATGTAAATAATACTAAGTGTAATGATTAAAATTATTTAATAATCTAATTATCACTATCATTAAATAGTAATAGCAAATTAAATTAAATAAATATAATAAATACATTCAACTTTAAAATATTCCATTGATCATTCAATTTTTTTCTGATCTTCTGCAAAAAAGGAAGAAGGAAATTTTAAACCGGTTTAACGGAACAGTTGAAATAAACTCAAACCGGTTTATTGGAACAGTTGAAATAACCTAACGCTAACATAATCCATAATTTCGTTATATAATAAATTTAATGAAAATTTGCTTACCGTAATAAATGATTTACAATCATGCGATTCCTTTAGTTGAATAAAAAGTTGACAATAAAATGTTAATCGGACAAGGCGATAGTTGACACATTAATTTTAATGAATTGATCCATTCCCTAACATTGTCACTTTTTTCCTGTATGTTTCCATTCAGGCGGAATATCTATACGTTTGATATTTTAGCACTTTAAAAAAAAAAAAAAAAAAAAGATGTTTGAGTAAATAAAATTTTTAAAGTAAACAATTAATTTAAGCGTTTGTAGCTTACTTACAACAATTTAATATTTTAAAACAAATATTTGACAAATAGTGGAACGATTCTTTGTTAATTGTTAAACAATTAGCAAATAATAATTACAAAAAATCATTCTTTAAATAAACAAAGGAAGAATAAAGAACTTGAAATATTATAAATAATTGATAAAGGTAAGAATTTGAAATTATTCAAATTGAAAATTAAAAATGAACAAAAATTATTGCTGTATTTGTTTTTGCTTTAGCACTACTGCTTGATATTTTTTGAAACTTGTTTATGTTGCGGTAAATATATTTGCAATGTTTGAAATTGAAATTTGAACAGTAATGGACAAAAATAAATTTAACTCAATTAAAATGTGATTTAAAATGTATATTACTTGTTAGATTTTAAAATTAAGAATTTTGGAAATATTTTTTGATATGTCTTATTTAAAAGAAACAGTAAAATGAGAGATCAATGAGAAAAGCTTTTGTTCAAATTCATTAAATGCTTAATGATTGATATTTTAAATTTGCTTATAATTCAAAAAGCTATTACACTTTTCAAAATAATTCCCAAAATATTTTAATCTATTCGATTCTTCAATTAAACATTATATTAAAATTCAATTTCATGAAAATATATTCATATAATTATTTGGGAAGTGAAGATATGATAATTTTAATAATTAATAAATTTCATAAATTATCAAATAATAGAAATTTTCGCAACCTTAAGAAATTGAAAAGGATTCTTTATTATTCGGAGGCAGTGTGTGATTAATTCTAAATATGTTATTTATCATTTTGATAACACTACAACTGTTCTTTCTTTTAATGTTTACTGCTTATTTGTAAAAAAGAAAAAATTATTTATTTTTTAAAAGCGCAAAATTCACAGTCAGAAAATGTCATCTAAAGTTAAAATCCATACTTTGTCATTTTTTTTCAGCATTGGAAATATCATCAAAAAAAAGACGAAAAGTCGATATAAAGTTATTAACAATGAAGTTTATTATTATTCATAAGATAATAATATTTATTGATGAATCATTGAAAATTAAAGAAAAAAAAACTTTTCCATTTTTTGATGTATTTTATTTGGAATATATTTTTGAAATTGATCCCAATAGCATGAAATTACTAACTTGTTATCATTATACTCAATAATAAATATTTTCTTTGAGTTGTAAAAGTGACATAAAACATTTATAAATAAGATAGCATTGAATTGCTCAGTAAAAAAGCAGAACCTTAAGAGAGGAAAATGAAATATTTACAACAACATTTGATCTATAAAATTACATTTATATGTGATTTTCGACAGAAAAAAATTTTTTTTAAAAAAATGGCTAATGAAATGCTTAAAATTATTGATGAAATGCTTCTGATCAGGAGATAATTTATTAATAAATGAACTGATGATGATAATCTTGATTAGGAAATGGCAATAACAATGATGAAGGTGATAACAATAACGTAATGGAAGTGAAATGATGATAATGCCGTTAATAACAATAATAATAATAACAATGATTTTGATGACAATGATGATGATAAGGATGGTGGCAACGTGGTGGAAGTGGGATGGTGATAATAATAACAATAATATTAATAATAATATTGATGTCAGTGATGATATAAGTAACGTGGTGTAAGTGGAATAATGATAATGCTATTAATAATAAAAATGATAATATCAATAACAATGTTGTTGGCATTGATGATGATAATGCCGCTAATAGTGTTAGCAATAGCTAATAATATAACCAAATGCTATGCGCTTATTCTATCACCTCTTAATTTTTAAAATTTCTTCATTTTTCAATCTTACATTTAAAAAATTTGCAAAAAGTATCAGAAAATATTTAAATTTTTAATTTATAAAACGTATATAACAGTATAATGATAAAAATGTTAACCATATGGTAAAAAAATGCCAACATTTGATATTATTATAGTAATGAAAGAAAAAAGAAATGAAACTTTTGCAAATATTCAAAAAAAAAACGAACGATGAAAATTGATTATTAATTTTATTTTTAATTACTCTGTACTTAACAGTCGAATTAACAATTAATTTTTTTTCTTTTTTTTTGAATGAATGATATTTAAGTTGGCATAAAATAAAGTAAACAAAAATTACATAAAAGAAATTCTTTACCTAACATTAATTAATAAACAATCTATAAAGTGTCAAAAAAAAGTGAAAGAAAAAGTTAATAAACATTTAAGCATCTAAAATAAAATTAACATTGTTACTAAAAATAAAAAAATATAAATACTATTTGCATTTGATAAACATACATATACATTAGATTGCAAAATAAAATGCAGTACATGAATGCATGCATGCTTTACATACATTGTTATTTCAAAAATTTCTTTTTGAAAATAAAAAAAGAAATATAATGAAAGAAATGAAATAATAATAATAATAATTTATATATTATATAAATGGAAGAAAAAAAAGTAAGAATTTAATCTGTCACTTTTTTTTTTCAGTGCTTTCATTTCATTTTTTTTTTTTCTGTTCACAACGAAAAATGTTTCGTTGAACTTTTTTTTTTCGTTTTATTGACAATTCAAATTCGAAATAAAGAAAAAAAAAAGGAAAAAATGATTCATTAAAATTTTTGCTACCGTTTTTACTATTTACCATTACATATTGTTACTTTATACCTTTCATTTTTCCTTCATATTATCCTTCTTTTGCTCATACTTATTTGTATTATTCTCTCTCCATCTCTCTCTCTCTCTCTCTTTATTCCCTCTCCAAAAAAAAGAAGGAAAAAACCACTTCAAATTTTTTGAATGTTTCACTCTCTCTCTCTCTCTTAAAAAGAAAATGATCAAATATTATAAATTACATTTCTCGATGTTTTGATTTTCTCTCAAAAAAAAAAAAAAAAAAGAAAGAAAAATCATCTTTTCCGATGAAGTTTTAAAAATTTAACTTTTTGTAAACTTTCATTAAAATGTGAAAATTTCATCAAAATTCTTTCAAATTCTTGATAATTTTTTTTTTTGAAAAAATAAAAAAAATTAAAAAGAGATTGAAATTTGAGTATTCATTTGAAAAAAAAAAAAATGATGCAAAATTAAACTTTGCAATGCTTTTTTTTTTTCTTTTGAAGGTTTGCTTATTTCTTTTAAGCATTTACATTTTAAAAACGGATGCAAAAGTTTAAAAAATGTTATTCCGTTAAAGTTTTTTTCTTTTTCTTTTTTCATTTTTCATTACTACAATTTTGCTTTATGAATAATATTCGAATAAAATATCAGTTGTACAAATAAAAAAAAAAAAGAACACAAATTGATATAATACAAATAGCATTTTCTAAAAATAAAATAGTATTTTTCACATTTTTTTTCATAAAATATTTTGAAGGAAAAAATTTGTAACAAAGAAGAAATAGCATAAATGAATATTTTAATTAAATAATATATTTGTTAATTTTAAATATATAATTAGATTAGAACAAAGATTCTTTTTGGAAATTTATTTTCCAAAAGTAATGAAAAAAAAAAAAAAAGATCCGTCTCAAAGTTATTTAATTCTTTAGTATCAGAATTAATTTTTATAATTATTATTCAGACAATAAAGTATCATAGTAATACTTATTGAAAATTAGAAATTAAATAATATATATGGAAAATTAGCTTTGTACAGAACTAATTTTAATTTTTTAAAATTTTTGAATGTATCGTTTTTGGCAACAAATTACATTGAAAATGTTTTTATTATTAGTGCAAATTAATAAGATAAATAAGTGAAAAAAATAGAGAAAAAAATAATTCTTTATCATTTTTTATATTAATTTATCTATTTAAAAATTCTTTATAATACTTTAAGTAAAATTTTATATGAAAAGTTTTTCATGTTGTTTAAGTTACGCTATTTTAAGTAAATATTTAATTACTCTTCAATTGAAAAATGTTTTTCAAGCAGAAAGTTGCTTTGAAATTAAAATAAAAATTAATTAATGAATAAAATGAATGTCATATTAAAAATATATTGCTGAAACTGAATGGATTTTTTCTTCAAAAAATGAATTTTAATTAAACGTAAATTTGTTCAATTTATAAAAATTTTAAATGTCATAAATTAATTTATGATAAATTGCTTTGGCAATTGATATGATTTTTCCATGAATTAATATTTATCAAAAAACCGGAAATTATTGACGAATCAAATGTTATCAACCGGTAATAATGTTAGCAACGGTATTTTTTTTCTTTATTTTTCTGAAATATTAAAAGTAATATATTTGATGAAATAACTCGTGATTAACAAATTTCAAAAAAAAATTTT